TCTATCTATCAGTGTTATCATCATACTGATAATGAATGAATGTACAATAATCTTTCCTCTTTAAAGGGATGGGAAAATGTTCGCTTGCTGGGAGAGAACTGCTCAGTTTGTTGCTTGGAGCTTCTGGTAACTCTGAACAACCAAGCTGCAAACACACAGAAGGAAAAGCATCACTTATTATATTTCCCTAGTCAAGGAAGGATCAAGTTAAATTCACCTGGGCGCCTTTGAACCATAAGTACAATCGGATCTCAGCATCTTGGGAGGTACGGTATCATTCTAACTTATTTAAAAAAAACCACCTCTTTGTATTGCTAGAGAAAATCAAGGCATTTAAGAAAAATAACACCGTTCGATGGATGGGGGCTGAAACGAAGAGAAGTAGTCTTCTTATGGTCACCATGGGGGCCTAAAAATTCCCGTGGCTAAAGTGAGACATCGGTTACGTGAATTCTGCCCCGTTTTACGACTTTTCTTGCCCTCCGTTGTTAAGCAAATCACTGCAATCGTGAAATAAATTTGGCTTCCCTTTTGATTTTGCTTCGCAAAAGGGGATCGCCTGATGCCAGGACATTGCAGCCGTCAGAAATATGAACGCTGGGGACGCTGCAGTGGTCGTTAAGTATGAAAAAATGGTCGTAAGTCATTTTTTCCAGCGCTGTTGTAACTTCAAACAGGTCACTAAACGAACTGTTTTAAGTCGAGGGCTCCCTATACACAGTCTAAATGTTTAGCCAATGCAACAATGAACGTAGCCTAATTCTACCTATGTTTACTCTGAAAAGATTACGCTGACCAAAAAGATAGAATGATTGTTCAAATTTAATATATTGAGGTGTGGGGGGGTGTTCTTTTTTTTTTTTATTTGATTTATATGCCGCCCTTCTCCGGAGACTCAGGGCGGCTTACAATGCGCTAAGCAATAGCCTTCATACTTTTGTATATATTTTATACAAAGTCAGCTTATTGCCCCCACAAACTGGGTCCTCAATTTACCTACCTTAGAAAGGATGGAAGGCTGAGTCAACCTTGAGCCTGGGGAGATTCGAACTTGCAATAATTGCAGACAGCTGAATGTTAATAACAGGCTTTTAGTCTGTTGAGCTATCCAGGCTCAACAGGTACTATGCCATCAAGTAGGTACTTAGATTTATTTCAGGACAATCTCTTCCCAACCTGCCCTTTCAGATTTCCCTGTGAGAAACTGATTGTCCTAACATTCCATCCATGCTGTTGACATTCATCCGGTAGAAGAGAACCTATGTAGCTCAGAGTTGAAAGGAGGGGGTCCCTTGGTCTTCTCTTTGGCTGCTTTCTTGCAGATGCTTCATTACCCAACTAGGGAACATCATCAGTGCTGGAAGGGAGAAGGGTTTGAGGAGAGGAGGAAGAAGGAGATGGGGTGAAGGAAGAGAACAATGGGGCCCTTGGTGCTCTCTAAGCTTGGTGGTTTTCATGCAGATGTTTCATGACTCATAGCTAACATTATCAGTGCTGAAAAGTGGCATTTACAAGGGGGGAAGAGGCTGTGGCAGAGGTGGAGGAGAAGAAGAAGAAGGAGAAGGAGAAGGAGAAGAGGGGGGAAGGTGAAGAAGAAGAAGAAGAGGAAGAAGAAGAAGAGGAGGAGGAGAAAGAGAAGAAGAAGAGGGGGGAAGGGGAAGAAGAGGAAGAAGAAGAGGAGGAGGAGAAGGAGAAGAGGTGGGAAGGGGAAGAAGAAGAGGAGGAGAAGGGGGAAGGGGAAGAAGAGGAAGAAGAAGAGGAGGAGGAGGAGAAGAGGGGGGAAGGGGAAGAAGAGGAAGAAGAAGAGGAGAAGGCGAAGAAGAAGAAGAGGGGGAAGGGGAAGAAGAGGAAGAAGAGGAGGAGGAGGAGGAGAAGTAGAAGAAGAGGGGGAAGGGGAAGAAGAAGAAGAAGAAGAAGAAGAAGAGGAGGAGAAGGAGAAGAAGAAGAGGGGGGGAAGGGGAAGAAGAGGAAGAAGAAGAAGAGGAGGAGGAGAAGGAGAAGGAGAAGAAGAGGGGAGGAAGGGGAAGAAGAGGAAGAAGAAGAGGAAGAGGAGGGAAGAAGAAGAAAAGAAGAGGAAGAAGAATTGTAGGGTCCTTGGTGCTCTCTGAGCTTGGTTGTTTTCTTGCAGACGTTTCATTACCCAACTATGTAACATCATCAGTGCTAGAAGGGAGGAGGGTTTGCTCTTTCTTTATATACAAGTGTTCTGCCCCAGCTACGGACTGCAAAAACCGCAGCACACACAAAGTCTGTACAAACCTTAGTTTACTAAAATAAAATCAGTTTTCTTTTTCTTTCTTTTTTTTTTTTACAAAGAAAGGCTGTTAATGAACTTTCTTAACAGCCTGCAAGAATCCAAAGAATAAATAATCGTAATCTTACTAGGGTTGGCAGAAAGCCCAGAAGCAATTTGCAGATAACTAAGATCAAGGCAGGAAGGAGAGTGAACAGAGTTGTTCCCTGCAAATTGCTTCAGTCGGGGTTCCTCCTTAAATAGGCTAAGGGAGTGGCCAATTAGCCCCAAGCCTTACTCTGAAGGAGACCTCCTCCTGAGGAGCCATTCCTGCCTTTTGGCAGCTCTGCGCGCCCATACATCGAGAAGAGGCTCCTCCTCTTCTTCCTCTTCACTTATGGGAGCTTCTGGAGATGCTGAAGGCCCTGGCTGAATCCCCGCCTCTGGCACCACATCTTCTCCAGCCTCCTCACTGTCCGACTCAAGCACCAGCTGCACAGGCTGCTGACACAGCACCACACCAGTCTCCTCGCTGTCCGAATCAGCCACCAGCCACACAGGCCACGTACGGGCCACAACAACTTGCCTTGTCAGTGCAATACATTAAGCCAACTCAGACCAACAATCAAACAATAACCAAGGAACCCCCCAGCAGAAAACAACACTCCCACTAACAGTGACAAGGCAAGACAAGGTATATAGAGAGCAAACCCCACTTCCATAATCCAGTTTGAATTGCCCGCCGTGGGACACCTATTGTAAAAATGCAAGCCTTGGTAGTACAGTGGTCTAAAGCACTCTGTTATTAAGACCAGCTGCCTGCAATTACTGCTGGTTCGAATCTCACCAGGCTCAAGGTTGACTCAGCCTTCCATCCTTTCTAAGGTAGGTAAATTGAGGACCCAGTTTGTGGGGGCAATAAGTTGACTTTGTATAAATATACAAAAAAGTATGAAGGCTATTGCTTAACACATTGTAAGCCGCCCTGAGTCTCCGAAGAAGGGCGGCATATAAATCAAATTAAAAAAAAAAAAAGTCATGATTTAATTGCTTTAGGCCAAGGCTTAAGAATAGAGGCAGTCCTTGACTTATGACTGTTTTCCACACTTATGACCATTGCAGCGTCCCCATGTTCACGTGATCAAAATCCAGATGCTTGGCAATTGACTGGGGGTGTGTGTGTCATGTGATTCCCCTTTTGCGACCTTCTGATGAGCAAAGTCAATTTGGAAACCGGATTCACTTAACAACCATGTTACTTCACAACGGCAGTGATTCGCTTAACAACGGTGGCAAGAAAGTGTAAAACGGGGCAAGGTTCACTTAAATGTCTCAGCAACGGAAATTTTGGGTTCAATCTGTGGTTGCTAAATCGAGGATTAGCTCTGTACTTCTAAAATGAGCCACCTTGATGACGGGTTCAACAAACCACAATCAAACCGGGTTTGTTCCTTGAGACAGGATGCATCCCCATCCATCATACCTGAGTGGCGATTTACACCTGAGGTTACTTGGCTACCCAGCTTCCTCCGCCTGAGTTTTTCCAACTTGGCTACTTGAAGATGTGTGGACTTCAATTCCCATAATCCCCCAGCCAGCTGGAATCTCGACTCTTTATATAACTGCTCTGTTTGATAAGCACTGTTATAAAGTAACACACCCAGGGGTGGGCCTCAAAAATTTTAGCAAGGGGCTCTCTGCCCAATTGCTGGGTGGGCGTGGCCTAGTCTGCCTCCTGCACGGGGAGGGGGAGCGTTTTTGCCCTCCCCAGGCTCCAGAGGCTTTTCTTGAGCCTCCGGGAGGAAGAAAACAGCTTCCCCAGGCTCCGGAAATCGGAAACAGGCTTGTTTCCAGCCTTCCCGAACTTCCAATAAGCCCGTTTTTCACCCTTGAGGCTCTGCTCATGCCCTGCACTTACCTGCATCCAAAATGGGCTGCGTAGGGATTTCTGGGAGGGGTGGGGTAGGTGGGGCCAGCCAGGAGTGGGATTTGGGGTTTCTCCGAACTGCACAGAATCTTAGCTATAGAGGTTCTCACGAACCCTTGCGAACCTCCGGCAGCCCACCCCTCTCTTATACAGGTAGTCCTCAAGTTACGACCACCACGGAGTCCAAAATCCATGTCGCTCAGCGAAATGCCTGTTTGGCGAATTTTTTGCGCCCCCCCTCCCATTTTACGATCTTTCTTGCCGAAGTTGTTAAGCGAATCACTGCCGTCGTTAAATTAGTCGCCCTGTTGTTAAGCGAATCTGGCTTCCCCATTGGCTTTGCTGGTCAGAAGGTCGTGAAAGTTGATGTCCGGACATTGCGACCGTCGTAAGTACATGCCAGTTGTCAAGCCTCCGAATTTTGACCATGTGACCATCGGCGGATGCTGCAACGGTCGTATGTGTGAAAAACGGTCCTAAGTTACGGTCACTAAATGAACGGTTGTAAGTCGAGGGCTGCCTGTATCCCCTTTGCAGCAACGCAAACCACCTGAACCCGTTGCAACCTGTTACCTGTAATTCACCTGCTCTAGAGGCTGCCCCTAAAGAACTAGCACTTAGCGCATGCGTACCATTACTTTTTCTCCCCCCTCCCGCTTCTGACAAATCCGGAGAGAAACGATGAAGCTCCGGCAAATCCGAACGGTCGCTCGGTCCCGCGCAGGCGCACTGAGGCGCTCTAAGCGCGCGCCGGCTAATGCGGCACCTTCGGTTCCCCGGTTGGCGAGCATGACCGCGCAGGCGCAGTAAGGCGGCAGAGGGGGATTCTTCCCCCCCTTCTTCCCCCTCCCCCCCCTCCGTCTCCACAGCCGCAAGACGCGAACCGGCAGGGCCGTTAATGGTTTCCCCGTTTTCTCCTCTCGAGGGGAGGGGGAGGGGGAGAAGAAATGGCCGGGATTGGGGCGGGAGAGTCTGTGGGATGAAGGAAAAAGGGGCGGAGGGGGAAGGATAAAAAGCGGGACCACCCCCCACCCCCCAACCCCCACCCCCGTGGCTTCACACGCCGGTCGTTTCTCCTCAGGAGAGGAAACTGAGGAGACGGAGGCGACCCACCTCGAGGGAGAGGCGCTTTCCAGTCATGGACGAGCAAAGTGTTGAGGTAAAAAAAAAAAAAAAACCTTCGGAATTGCGGTAATAACAATAATAAGGGCGGTGGGGGGGAGGGGTGCACCTGTTGGAGCGGGGGTGGGGCTTCTTTCCCTCAGACTGCCCCTCCCCCAAAGTTGGGGGGAGGAAAAGGTCCTGTGCGGGGGGGGGGGAGGGCGTCCCCTGGGGGGGGGTCCCCTTGGGGGGGGGGGGGGGAGGACAGCCCACCCTTTTCCCACCCAGGATTGGAACCCCCCCTCAAAGGTGGGGGAGGGAATCTGTGAGGGAGGGGGTCTTATCCTGGGTGGGATAGGGGTGGCTGCCCTCCCCCTCCCCCCAAATGGAGACCCCCCCCAGGGAAGACCTTCCCCCCCCCCACACAAATGGACAGGACTCCAAATGAGGTTTTTTTTTAAGGTGGGAAGGGTCTTCTGAAATGGGGGAGGGGAAAAGGGAAATTCCTGCATGTGTGGTTATTTATTTGACATAATAAGCGAACATGATTTGCCATTCTTGTTTTGTGGGGGAAATCCGGAACAGCAGTCCTCGACATAACGACCACCATTGAGCCCGGAGAACTTACGTCGCTAAGCAGGGCGGTTAGAATGACAGAATGACAGAGTTGGAAGGGACCTTGGAGGTCTTCTAGTCCAACCCCTTGCTCAGGCAGGAGATCGTATAACATTTCAGGCAAACGGCTGTCCGGTCTCTGAAAAACCTCCGGCGTTGGGGGCACCCGCAACTTCTGGTGGCAAGCTGTTCCACTGGTTAATTGTTCTCAATGTTAGGAAGTTTCTACTTCATTCCAAGTTGCTTTTCTCCTTCATTAGTTTCCATCCATTGTTTCTTCTGCTCCTGCCTTCAGGTGCTCCTCGATGCCCTCTTCTTTGGGGCAGCCCCTCAAATACTGGAAGACTGCTATCATGTCACCCTTGGTTAGGGGTGGGCTTCAAAAACTTTGGCAAGGGGTTCTCTGCCCGGTTGCTGGGTGGGCGTGAGGTCCCCCCCCCATTTTACCATCTTTCTTGCCACAGTTGTTGAGTGAAAGTAGTCACAGCGGTGGTGGTTAAGTGAATCGGGCGTCTCCATTGACTTTGTGTTGTTAGAAGGTCTCCAAAGGGGGGAAAATTGCATGACTCCGGGATACTGCAGCCGTCATAAATATGGAACCAGTTGACGGGCGTCTGAATTTTTATCGTGGGACCATGGGGATGCCGCAACGGCGGTAAGTGTGAAAACGGGACAAAAGTCACTTTTTTCAGTGCCGTTCTAACTTTAATGCTAAATGAATGGTTGTAAATCAAGGAATAACTGTACAGAATTTTTTTTAAAAAAAAAAGCGGAGGGAGATAAAAATCCAAACCAAGAAAATGAAGAATTGGAAATCTACCTCTGAAAACCAGATTGAAGATTGAGCAAGAGAAAAAGCAGCAGCTCCCTGCATGGCCCTGAAAAACCAGTAAAGGAAACTGGCAGCCCAGGACACAGGCTTGGAAATTGGGGTCATCACCAAGAAGATTCCTGCTTTCTACCACCAAAACCTCCTGAGCTTCTTGTCTGTGGAGGTTCTCAGTCATCCCAGGCCATGGTTGTCCATTTGCCTCTTGAGAAAGCACCTTTGGGACTCCTGAGCTTCTCTTTCTCCTAATGGAATGGACAGGCATGAGTACTGGAAAGAGGGTAGAAAAAGGTCTTTTGGGGGGTAGGTGAAATTCAGTGGTTGTCAATTTACAACCAATTAACAGTTGGAAGGGGTCTTGTAGGTCATCTAGTCCAACCCCCCGCCCAAGCAAGGAGACCCTACACCATTTCTGACAGATGGCAGCCTAGTCTCTTCTTGAAATCCTCCAGTGATGAAGCTCCCACAACTTCTGAAGGCAACGTCTGTTCCATGGGTTGATTGTTCTCACTATCAGAAAGTTTCTCCTTATTTCCAGGTTGAATCTCTCCTTGTTCAGTTTCCATCCATTATTCCTTGTCTGGCCTTCAGGTGCTTTGGAGAATAGCTTGACCCCCTCCTCTCTGGGGCAGCCCCTCAAATATTGGAAGACTGCTATCATGTCTCCCCTGGTCCTTCTCTTCACTAGACTAGCCATTCATTTAGTGACTGCAGTTACAATGGCACTGAAAAAAGTGACTTATGTTCAGTTCTCACATTTATGACTGTTGAGCATCCCCACATTCACGTGATCAGAATTCAGGCACTTGGTAACTGTCATGCATTTATGAGGGTAGCACTGTCCTGAGGTGATATGATCACCATTTGTGACCTTCCCAGCCAGCTTCGGACAAAGTCAATGGGGGAAGCCAAATTTGCTTAACTGCAACACAATTTACTTAACAGCTGCAGTGATTTGTTTAACAACCATGGCAAAAGAGCCTTGGTAGTACAGTGGTCTAAGGCACCTTGTTATTAAGCTGGTTATTAAGACCAGCTGCCTGCAATTACTGCAGGTTCGAATCTCGCCAAGGCTCAAGGTTGACTCAGCCTTCCATTCTTTCTAAGGTAGGTAAATTGAGGACCCAGTTGTGGGGGCAATAAGCTGACTTTGTATAAATATACAAAAGGATGAAGGCTATTGCTGAGCACATTGTAAGCCGCCCTGAGTCTCCGGAGAAGGGCGGCATATAAATCAAAATTAAAAAATTTTTTTTTAAAAAAAAGGTTGTAAAATGGGGCATGACTTATTTAACAATTGTCTTGCTTAGTGATGGAAATATTGGCCTCAGTTGTGATCATGTTAAGGACTACTTGTAGTCCTCTCATTGTGGTTACCCTTCAAAACATTTAGATTTATTTATGGCTTTATTATTATTTATTTATCACACTTAGAAACTGCCAATCTCCCTCAGAGCGACTCTGAACAGTATACCAATCAGACATAAAAACATCACAACTGTATAAATATTATAATACAAGGCAGATTAAAACAACAAAAATTTTCATTCAAGGTGATAAAATTGGGCAAAATGTAACCTCATGAATCTTCTCTGTTTTGGGTTCTCTGCGCTGTTTACTGGTCCATGATTTCAAGTGTTGGAGGGGAAAAAAATTACATGTTGCAGGAGAGAGTAAAGGAAAAAAATAGGAATAGGGACACTGAAATTAACAGAAATGTTATTGATAAGGTGCATGGTATTAGGGTTATTTAATATCCCACCTTCATTATTTTTTATAAAATCTCAAGGCAGCAAACATATCTAATATGCCTCCTTTCTCCTATTTTCCCTACAACAATCCTGTGAGGTGAGTTGAGCTGAGAGAGATTGGCCCAAACTGATTCAGTTGCCTTCCGTGGTTAAAGTGGGATTAGAAGTCACCATCTCCCATTTGCTAGCCTGGTGTCTTAATCACTTAACTCACTGGAGAAGAGCTTAATGGTGGGAAAGATTGAGGGCAAAAGAAGAAGGGGACGACAGAGAACAAGGTGGCTGGATGGAGTCATCGAAGCAGTCGGCATGACTTAAATGGACTCCAGAGGATGGTAGAGGACAGGAAAGCCGGGAGGAATGTTGTCCATGGGGTCGCGATGGGTCGGACACGACTTCGCAACTAACATCAACAACAAAATCTCCCATTTTCCAGCCTGGTGTCTTAATCACTAGACTAGACCAAACTGACAATAGTGCTGACTATTATCTTATTTAAATAAGCCATCTTGTTAATTAATAAATACTTTTCCCAGATTGCCACTTTGATATTCATAATTTAAATTCACTTTTGTTATAATAATACTTTACATTTCTAGTTTCCAAGGTTGAGTAGAAGGTACAGTATTATTGTTCTTTGGGTTGGTATAAATTCAGCACACTTGGTCTCTTCTTTCCCCGATACATGAATTATTGCAATGAAGTCAAAAGAGGAAAGGGGTACTGTGGTTCATGAAAGTTTATGAACTGACAAATCTCAAGTTTCAGCTGCTGCAGGGAAATATTAATACAACAAATTAATGCAGTGAAGTCACAGATCCTGGATCTGATAATTTTTTCACTCTCCCTATATGCTGCCTCTTTAAACAGGCAGGAATCTACCGTATGATGCTAGAGTTTCTCTATTTCTGTGTTTGGAGTGCTCTGTTTTGTTTGAGAATGTTTTGACACAGAGCTCCCAAAACCTTTTTCTATGGGTAAGGTTATGGTATCTAGAGCATGCTCTGTTTTAGCATCAGAACTCCTAGATCCAAACTTGAAATTGCCCTAAATCTCCCTTTTCATTCACTGGATGGGAAGGGACTAGAAGTGGAAGAATCAGCAGTCTCAACCTAACAAGGCTGTTATAAGGATAAAATTAGAGTGTGTGTTAAATATACAGGTAGTCCTCACTTACTGACTAATGTAGGGGTGTCAAACTCGATTTCATTGAGGGCCACATTTGCTAGTAGTTTGTTTTGCTAGCACTCTGTTTAGCAGTGGGGTTGTTAGGCCAGGACCTCACAATTCTCCCATGCTTGTCATGCTTGCATCTGCTTCAGCTTCCTCCCCATTTCCCTTCCCATCTTTTCCCTTTTGGTTATCCCTGCCTTCCCAACTGATCTTCACCACCTTCTTCCTCCTGCTGCTGATGACATGCACCTGGCGGAGACAGCTACTGGCCACTTGCAAGGCCGTCCCACACTGTGATTGTAAATGCGGGCTGGTTGCCAAGCATCCAAATTTTGGTCATGTGACCATAATGACCATAACTTTAAGGACTGACTATAAGTGCTAGTTGTTCAGTGTTGTCATAACTTTGAACAGTCATTGAATGAATGGTTTTTAAGCAAGGACTACTACCTTGAGCTCCTGAAGGGAAGTCGAGATGAGTTTAACATGTAAATGTATAAAAGTGCAAATTTTGGATTACACTGTATTCCACAGAACTAAGAAAGCAAGAATAAAATGTGATTTGTTTCCATATCTTTCTGAATTTTACCTTAAGCAAAGTAAGTACTGTGCAAAAATTACATTTTGTTGAAATGTGCATTTTATGAATCATATGCATTCCAGTCCATCTCAGAAACATACCAGCAGATTGTGTTGGTTTATATGTCCTCTTCCTCCTTATAGTAATATTTGTATTCTGCAAGATTATAGAGCAGATGTGTCCAACCTGTGTCCCACGGTCACAGCCCTGGACCGTTAGTAATGCAAGCCCATAAGATTGTAAACCTCTTAACAATATTATATGATTTATATACATTAACTATATTATATATTTTATAGGCAGCCCAACACAATTCCATTCATTGCGGCCAGGCAAGCCAAAAGGTTGGACACCCATATTCTAGAGTGTCTTCTAAACAATTATATACATACTTTTTTAATATACATTTTATACACATTTTATACAATTATATACATATTTTTTGCTCTTTTATTGCAGTGTTAGCAAGATACTGAAGTGTGTATGTAGATGTAGCAAACCTTTTTTTCCCTTTTGATTTAAACAATGACATTTAAAAATAATTGCTTGTTGGTTCCTCTCCAAACACGGTTGTATAGTATCCCGGAGCAATATAATTGAGCCTAGGTGTAAGTAAAATGTGAGTTGATATGAATAAGATAATGTGGGTGCAATTTACAGATAAAGCTGACGCATATTTGTCTTGATTGTGTTTCTTTTTTGCAGAGTATTGCTGAAGTATTTAGATGTTTCATTTGTATGGAAAAGTTGCGTGATGCACGCCTGTGTCCACACTGCTCCAAGCTATGTTGTTTCAGTTGTATTTGGGTAAGTAATCACAAATTTGGAGCCAAGTTACTCATGTAGAGATAGTAACTGGATTTTGGATGTGTAAGTGTTTTCGAAAATACTTCAAAACAGATGTAAGTGTACAAGAATTCTAATTTATTGGCACACTAAGAAAAACAATTTTAACCTTTTGTTCTGGTGCCTGCCTGCTTTCCATTTACTAGTAGCCATGCTCAGAGAAACTATTGGAATAATAGGTAGTTTTGAATATAAACTGATATTCTTCCAAAACTAAAGATTAATTCTGACTTGTTTTCATCTTCTCTTTCAACCCAAGAGGTAAAAAATGTAGCTTTCTTTTCAGGTCTTTCAACCAGTTGAATTTATTCCCGGGATTATCCTTAGATTTGTATCCCCAAAGGTGCTTTTTTTCAAGAGGAACTTGACTTTCTGGTTTTTCTTTGAAGACGTTTAGCTTCTCATCCAAGAAGCTTCTTCGGCTCTGACTGGATGGGTGGGAATGGAAGGAGCTGAAGAAGTTTCTTGGATGAGAAGCGAAATGTCTTCAAAGAAAAACCAGAAAGTCCAGTTACCTCTTGAAAAAAAGCACCTTTGGGACAACCATGACCTGGATGACAGAATCTTCATATACACTTAGTTTTGTATGTTGCTGTTAAACTTCTTAAGAACCCAGAAATTTATTACAGTCGCAATTGTTTTGGGACTAGTGAGTTTTACACATTTAATTTTCTGAACAAAATAATTAAATAGGGTTGGACAAATATTTAGGATTACAACATTGATAACATACAAAGAAGTGCCATGACCAACTTTCTTGATTAATTGTTAGCTCCGTGTGTGACTAACGGACCACAAGTTCATATCCCACCTTAGCCATGAAAGCTGGTTAGGTGAACATGGGTCAGTCCCTCTTTCTCAGACCAGCCTACCTCACAGGGTTGTTATTGTGGGGAAAATAGGAGGAGGAAGCTGTGTTAGATATATTTGCTGCCTTGAGTTATTTGTAAAAATAAGAAAGGAGGGATACAAATAAATAAATCTAGACTGGGTTTGCACAACATTTTAGATTAAACTGGGATTGGCTAGTTTATACTTTAGCATATTCTGGGAATTCAGCCATTATCTTAGCATGTTGTATGATCCAGGCTATTCAACAAGGTATAATTTGGTATTGGGAGTCATTTTCTGAGTGCAACAGTATACAGATACAATAAATAGGGATAGACGGCAGCATTTGTGTGTTGTGTGAATCCCATTCAAGAATAATTTACTTATGCTGAAGAAATATGTCCAAATTTATTCTAGGATTTAAGCTTTTCTAATGTTTCTGGAACTCTGGTGTTTTATAACATGCCTGTTTTGTTTGACAGCGTTGGCTGACAGAACAAAGAGCTCAGTGCCCACATTGTCGGTAAGCTTTCACTTGAAGCCCTTTGGACTGTTGTGATAACCAAAGCAAATTCTTTATTTTAGGTGGTTTTTGTTTCTGATATTCACAATACATGTTTGGGAGGAACAGACAGGTTATAAATTGAATTTGGCACATGATGGAATGTTACCTATCTTGACCTTCAGTCATGAATGAAAGTTTAACCAAGGTACAATTTTAAAAATTGTCCACCATTGTCACTCATTGGGGATAAAAGAGCAGTTTTAAAAAGTTCTGAGAGAGTCAGATCCTTTGATGTCACTTAAAACAATTCTCCCTGGTCAAAGTATAGATAACCTGGTTCCCTCTAATACAGGGGTCCCTAAACTTTTCGTCATCATACCTCCCTTTACTGTAATCTTTATGTACACTTATCTAATTAGCCAAACACCAAAATGAGCACAAATGGATATTGAAAACAATACAGTGAAACTAAAGATAGATTTCTTGCAACACTATACTTAAAAGTTTTAAAGGTTTTCTACATCTCGCCTGGAATAGGTCTGCATCTCCCCAAGGGAAGTATTTCACAGTTTGGGAAGCCCTACTATAGTACCTTTGCCTTCAGGTTCTGCGATTCCCATCCCATGAGCCATCATGACCAGTGCAAAGAATTGGTCTCTTTGCATGCTGTAAATCTCAAACTTACGAATGCTATTTCTTCTTTAAATCTTTATATCCAAGCATTTATTCCCCCTAAATATATTTTTTATTCCTGGTTTCAAAATACCTGGTAGACAAGATTTCCCTCCTTGAATGAATATGAAATTATTTACCGTTCTTCATTAATTAGCTTCCTCTGAATGTGGAAAAAATTAGAAGGAACATTTCAAGTTAGAGTCCCTGAATTGTAGCTTATTAATGAACACCCCCAACTTCTAATAAACTCCTGTTTTCAATTTTATATCTAATAAAAAGAACGTTATTCTATCCTATTTTTTTCCTCTAAAAAGCAGGATTTATATTCAAATTTTCCTTGCAGGGCTCCACTTCAATTGCGAGAACTTGTCAACTGTCGTTGGGCAGAGGAGGTGACCCAGCAACTTGACACACTCCAGTTGTGTAATCTGAGCAAGCATGAAGAAAATGAAAAAGACAAGTACGTAGATTTAAATGGCCTGTTGACTGAAGGGTTTGTCATGCATTACCCCTAAATTCGTTCATAATCAGACATTTTAAAAACTGATGAATTTTTCTCCCGTAAATAGCTATATAAGGAGTGGATTTACAGTTACATTATGTGAGATGTTAAAATGGAACATTGGTATTAACTGTGAAGTTTGTTTTCTGTAATGGATTGAGGGTATCATTGGTGTGCCAATCATCCTCCCACTTGCTTTAGTTCTGGGGTGTCAGAATTTTTAGATGTAGTCATGGGAAGGAAGACAAACCCAGAAGGCTCTACTACAAAACAGCAAAAAGTTAAACTAAGTAAAAACACTGATCCTCCTCAGGGTGGATTTGATTTAAATCACAATTTAAATCATGATTTAAATCACTAGTAAAAAGGCTTGATTTAAATCAACTCGATTTAAATCATAGTTTTTAAAGAGCAACTGTCATCTCTGCTACTCCTTTGACCCACTGTTGACTCACCGATAGTCCCAATGTTGCAGACTATACAGCCTCATGCTACATAACTAACCTCCATTTCATGCTGAATAAACTAAATTATTTATGTATCTTAAATAGAAAACTACCTTACAATAGATTTTTACCCCAAAAGTTTTTTATTAAAATAAATCCAATAAAAATCAAAAAAATCCGATTTAAATCAAAAAAATCTGATTTTTTTTATTTTTTTAAAAAAATCATTGATTTTTATCCACCCTGATCCTCCTCCTATTTCAGTGAACAATGTGCTCCATCCACTACATGGAGTTTTTGACTTAGGACTGTAATTGAGCCCACAATTTTCATATTAAATCATGATGATCGTATTGTGGGTTACCATGTGACCAGACTTAATTTTAGACCTAACTTTTTGCAGCAATCATAAAGCAAACACTGTAGTTGTTAAACAAACCCATTCTTAGCTATGCGGCTTTTTTTTTTTTTTGCTGGAAAACTGGAAGTAAATGCAGGTTTCTGGCAAAAATGTTGTTAATTGCAATCAAGTGACCATGGGGCACTGCAAACAGTCGTTAAATGCAGGCCAATTGCCAAGCACCTAAAATGTAGTCATCTAACTGCAGGGGTCAGGCTTTGGCTAAGCGCCAAAGAACTGAGGCCTTTGAGGTGCTGGAGGAGACTCCTGCGAGTCCCTTGGACTGCAAGGCGATCAAACCGGTCAGTCCTAGAGGAGATCAACCCTGACTGCTCTTCAGAAGGCCAGATCCTGAAGAGGAAACTCAAATACTTTGGCCACCTAATGAGAAGGAAGGACTCCCTGGAGAAGAGACTCATGCTGGGAACGATGGAGGGCAAAAGGAGAAGAAGGGGATGGCAGAGAACGAGGGGGCTGGATGGGGTCACTGAAGCAGTGATGGCGTGAGCTTAAATGGACTCCAGAGGATGGTAGAGGACAGGAAGGCCTGGAGGAACATTGTCCATGGGATCACGATGGGTTGGACACGACTTCACAACTAACAACAACAACAAACTACTGCAGGGGAAGGCAGATGTTGGAACTTCGACTCTGGATCATAAGTAACATTTAAGTTAAATAACATGTATAGTTGGTTTGCCGCAACTTTGAACAGTAACTAAGCAACCGGTCTTTAAAACTACTTGTAAAGCAAGTAGTAAACTTGTATTCCACAGTTCACAATTTCATATTCATAATGGTAGTAGGTATCCTTCACTGGTGCATACCAAGCATTCTCCAAAGGAGGCTTGAGCTGAGGTTAAACATAGAATTTATAATTCTTAATTAAAGATGACATAGATAACCTGGTAAATGCTAAGGAGCATTTGTTGGAAAAGTAGCTGGATCTCTGTGCTCCTGGTACTACAGTATAAATGTGCTCTTCCAGAACAGCTTTTGAGTACAGTTTATACCCCAAAGTGATGAAGCTCATGTCTGTTTAAAGATAGCCCATTTGTAGTGAAGAAGGGCATCAGGAATGTAAGCAGAAAAGCAGACTTTCTCCATTCTAGCAGGCTGGATGTTGGTGGTTCTCCAAGCGTCCAGTTTGTACTAGTCCGATGCCAACCTGGAATTTTGCCTAGAATAGGAGAAAGCATTTGATGAAAGGATAGAATATAAAAGGACTTTCCTTTTGCAGCAAGAACAAAAAGTCTTTGGGGTGATTTTATAGAGAAGCTACGGGAGAAGCTAAGCTAACTTGCAGTACATTTCAGATGTAACCTAAACATTGTAGCTGGAACTGTTCAGTTTCTATGTGTGTAACTAATCTGCACCTTGATAATGGAAAGACTGAACAAGAAGCTTGTGAAAAGCAAGCCAAGTCTTTATATATATATTTTTTTCTTAATTTAAAGTACATAAATTTTTATTAAAAATTTCTGAATATACAAATGAAAATGAAAACAATGGGGGAAAAGGCAAGGGAAAAAGGGAAAGGGAGGGAAAGGATGAGAAGAATGATTTTATTAAATACAGGAGGAATTTGGTACAAAAGCATTCATTGTACTTGCAAAACAACAGAGAAAAATAATAACTGAATTACTGACTTGAAACTTCTCTATGTCACTTTACACTGTTTCCTATTTTTAACAGCATTTCAGCAGTAACTCATTTTGACTGATGTAAAGTAAAAATAAGCTTCTTAATGGCACTTTGTTAAAATGATTGAGGAAAAAAAAACTTACAATGGCTGCTCTTCCATCTGTCTAATTGCAATGTTTACTTTATTTTTTTTTAAGGTGTGAAAATCATCATGAAAAGCTTAGTGTATTTTGCTGGACATGTAAGAAGTGTATCTGCCACCAGTGTGCGCTTTGGGGTGGAATGGTGAGTAAAAAAATTTATGTACAGATGAAGAACAAAGAGTTAACTGTACAATGTTTATTTTATAGAAACAGAAGCATTGCCCTTGTGTTATTGAAAAGTTGTGATTAGAGGAATAGTTTCTGGGGTAGCATTGTAGGAGGTGAATCTTTTGTAACTTAATATGAAATTACAAGTAATCCTTGACTTCTGATCACAATTGGGACCAGAATTTCCATTGCTAAGCAAGGTACTTAAGTGAGTTGCACCCAGTGTTATGACCTTTTTTGCCATGGTGGTTAAGTGAATCATTGTAATACTTAAGTGAGTTCAGTCATTAAGCAAATCTGACTTCACCCATTGACTTTCCTTGTTGGAAGCCATCTTTGTAATTTCAAACAATCACTAAATGAATGGTTATAAGTCAAGAATTACCTGTAATACAGTTATTGAACAAAGAACAAAGTAATTCTTCAAGTATAATATGCATATAATAAAACGTATTAGCTTGCAAGAAGAATATAAAGTTCTGTTTTTATTTGAGGATGGACCACAATCAGAAAATCTTCCTCCCCTTATTTAACACCTAGTAACATCTATTCCCCACTATTTGGCATGGATTTCTCAAATGACTCTCACTCTGATATGCTGTGCTGACATAATGTTCATGTAATGTAAGATGCAGCTATTTAAAATCAATTAATGAAGATCAGCTTTGACAAGAAAAGCATGTCATGTACCTTTTACTATTTAAACCTTGAATTAAGCATTTATAAGAAGTGTTTCTGGGGAATTAATTTAGTTTTTTCCTGAAATATTAACTTCAGACATCTACCTTTAACAGGGCAACAAGCTAGACAGTTTTACTTCAGTTATGTATTCGCTAAGAATCTGAATAGATTTTTGTGGGAAGTGTGACTGGAAGAAAAACTAGATTCAGCAGGTTGAAAAGTGCTTTCTTCCGATAAGAAAGCACTTTTCAACCTGCTGAATCTGGTTTTTCTTCCAGTCACACTTCCCACAAAAATTTGGGATTCACTTTGGTAAGAGCGTTTTGAGCTGGTACAATGAAGCTACCAAATTCATCTGTATCTTTCTAACAGCACGGCGGACATACTTTTAAGCCTTTAGCAGAAATATATGAGCAGCATGTCACAAAAGTGAACGAAGAAGTGGCAAAGCTTCGCCGAAGACTCATGGAGTTGATAAGTTTGGTACAAGAAGTGGTGAGAACAGCTCTTCCAATTTTGTTGACGTATAATTCTCATATTCAAATATATCTGCTTATCAAAAACTCCACATTAGCAACAGGAAGGGCATCCGGCCAGTAAACACTCAGCTCCATTCAGTTGCCTAGACTCCACCCCGCAAAAAATTATGGGGTTGTTAAAAGAGGATGATAATTCCCATATTCTCAAAGCCCTCCTACTGGGATCATTGTTTGAAGTTGGAAGGTGGTTTCTAACCTCGGGCAGTTGGGAGAGAAGGACAAGGTGAAAGAAATAATTGTTTTCCAGGTTGTAACAGTAATAAACAGATTCACAGCTTTCACTAAGATGAGATGTGGGTCTCTCAATCTCCAGTTTAGCATTTTCAGCCTTGGCAAAAAGTAATGCAGATAATCCTCAATTTACAATCACAATTGAGCCTAAAGTTTCCTTCGCTCAGCAGAGCATTTGTTAAGTGAGTTGTGCCCCATTTTACAACCTTTTCCCCCTGGTTGTTAAGTGAATCACTACAGTTGTTAAGTGCATTGTGCAGTCATCAAGCGAATCTGGCTTCCCCTATTCATCTTGCTTGTCATACGTTCCTTGGAAAAGTTGCTAATGGCAATCCCAGGACTCCAGGATCCCGTATCCATCATAAATAGATGCTGGTTGCCAAGCACTGACTGTGGCGATGCTGCAACAGTCATAAGTCAGAGAACTGATTACAAGACACTTTTTTCAGTGCTGTTATAACTTTGAACGGACATCAAACAAATGGTTGTAAGTCGAGGACTACCTTTATCTAGAGAAGGAACTTCCTGGTTAATGTTTTCAAGGTGGGAATATTTTTAATGCTGCTGCTTTAAAAAAAAACCGAGCAAAGCATCATCTATTTAATGCCTCCCAACTCCACGTTACTTATATCTATGCTGCGGCAACCAGACAGTGGTTGAGAGACAGTGAATAATAAAACTGTCACACCTGTTTTTCTGGGTTTAGAAGGGGAATTAGTGTTACGTATAACAACCATGAGGTGCAATCCAAGGTGACATTCTCCTGATATAGAGGGGGAAGTAAAAGATCCTAGTGACAGAGGCAGATGTTTTATATTGCAATTATAAGTTTTAGTTTCTCTTTCCTCCTATATGGACTTTTCTCTTTCCAAATGAAGGTGTTAGCTGCTCAGAAATTATTCCAGCCTCTACTTTGAAAGCCAGGTTAATGTACTGTACTGGTTAAGACACCAGGCTAGAAACCGGGAGATTGGGAGTTGTAGTCCTGCCTTAGGCACAAAACCTTGGGCCAATCACATTCTCTCAACCTCAAAAAGAAGGCAATGGAAAACCATTTCTGGAAAACCTTGCCAAGACAGTTGCAGAGACTTGTACAGTCAGTCTCCATGGATCAAATGTGATTGAACAGAAGAAGAAAAAAAATATTCTATTTCTTCCCATTCAAGCAAAGTGGTTGCGTAGGTAGCCTATGCAAACAGCTGCTGAAGTTAGAGAAAGACGTGGCTGTTTTAATGATTTCGAAGGAGGTGCTACGTATGCTCTCCCACATGCTCGGTTCACTTCTGTTGAAGGATTTACACAACCTAGAATGCCATTCCCATGTAAACAAAGAAAATCTGTCCCGGCAGTTCTAAATTGATGCCATGTGTGTTTTTCAGGAAAGGAACGTCGAAGCGGTACGCAGTGCGAAAGATGAACGAGTCCGAGAAATCAGGAACGCCGTGGAGATGATGATTGCTAGGTTAGATACCCAGCTGAAGAACAAACTTATAACACTAATGGGTAGGTTTGTCTTGTTTGGGGGGGGGGTTTGTTATATTTTAGGACAGCAATTGAACTTAGCACTTGACAGATGTGTCTTTGTTGAAGGTTATGTTCTCTTGCTATTCATTTATTGAGGGGTATGTGCCAGTGGTTTGTGAGATTTCATTGAACAGTGCAGTTGGTCCTCACTTAGCATCACTCTTAGCATCACTCGTTCAGTGACCAAATTTATGACAGCACTGAACAAGTGGTACTTATGATGGTCCTCAGAGTTCCAGCCATTGCAGCACCCCTACAGTCATATGTTGACATAGTCAGGGCGTTTGGTACATGGCTCATGATTATGACGTCACAGCATCATGCAGTCATGTGGTTGCCATTTGCAACTTCCTTTGCCAGCTTTTTACAAGCAAAATCAATGGGGAAGCCAGCAGGTGGTCACAAATGGTGACCACGCGAGGTTGTTGCTTAACAACCTGCGGTGATTTGCTTAACAACGGCAAGTGGAAGTTCTGGAATTTCCAATGGGATTATGTGGTGTTGCGCTTTACAAGCATGTTGCTTAGGAATGGAAATTCCAATTGCCATCATTAATTAAGGACTGTGTTTTGGTGCAAGAAATGGGACTTCCCATTCTGTCTCCAAGACTATTTATGTATTTATTTATGCCACTTGGCATTGGCTTTGTCCCCACAGCATGCAACAATGCATGAACAAGTTGTTTCTCTCCTCCATATTCCAACAATAGGAGGGGTAGATTATTTTATAAGAAGGTTGAGTTGCTTATTAGTCAAAGATGGCTCAGCCTTGAACTGAGCAGAAATTCTCTTGGCATAGGATTCGGCTATAACTTGATAAGTCTGGAAATAATTAGACATAGAAAGCAGAATAGATACCGTAATTGATACAAAACGCCTGCTCTGTTTTTCAATAGAAAATACCTGTTCTTGTATGTGACAGTCTTTTAGATATTTCTAAATTGTTCTCATATCCTCTTACGCTTTCTTTTGCAAGACAGATCTTCCCTGCCCCTTTAAATTTGTGTATTTAGTTGACTTTAGCTCCACCTTGCACTGGTTTTTTAGTGCTACATCACAATGCGTGCGCATGTTCACCTAATGGTCCTTTTTGTCATAAGAGACTTTATATACAGGTAGTCCTCGAGTTACACCAGTTTGTTTAGTGACCATTCAAAGTTACAACAACGCTGAAAAAAGTGACTTACGACCATTTTTCACAGTTATGACTGTTGCAGCATCCCCATGGTCATGTGGTTTACATTTGGATGCTTAACATATTTATTCATGCTTAACATATTTATGATGGTTGCAGTATCCCCGGGTCCCGTGATCCCCGTTTGCGACCTTCTGACAAGCAAAACCAATCAGGGAAGCCAGATTCACTTAACCGTGTTACTAATTTAACAACTGCAGGGATTCACTTCACAAATGTGGCAAGAAAAAGTGATAAAATGGGACAAAACTCACTTAACAAATTTCTCACTTAGCAACATAAATTCTGGGCTCAATTGTGGTCGTAAATCGAGGATTACCTGTATTTGTGAGCTGCCTGGAATTGTGATTATGACTGAAGCAATTTTTAAATTTGGTTAAACAAATAAGTATTTCTGGACTCTTCTGATAGCCAAGCCAAGCCATCTCTCCAATCCTTTTTCCCAACAGATGGTGGATGTTAGATTTCTTATAGTTAAACATTACTACCTTTGATTTGGCCCTGTGTTAAAGCCTCTTTGGCACAACGCTAGCATAGTGTCACACTTTGTTTAGATTTTGGCTCTTTGTCTACTGAATAGGTCAGAAGACATCACTCACGCAAGAAACGGAACTTCTGGAGTCTTTGCTGCAAGAAGTAGAACATCAGGTGATGAGATTTAGTTTTGTGGATTCTCAATATTTGGAAAACGATTTTAAGATCAGACGCCCAGACGTTATTTCTATGTTTAAAATAACAAATTCTGCCTCTGTGATAATCTGGCAGTACACGTTGCCTATGACTTTACAACTACAGTTGCTAAGGAAGAAGGTTGTTAAGTGAGTTTTTTCCCATTTTACGATCTTTTTTGCCACAGTTGTTAAGCAAATCATTGCAGTTAAGTGAATCATGCGATTGTTGAGTGGATCTGGCCTCCCCATCGACTTTTACTTGTCAGATGCCTGGTGGGAAGGTTACATGTGATGATCACATGACCCTGAGCCTGTGCAGCTGTCATAAATACATATCAGCCGTCAAGCGCTACATTTTGATCACGTGACCATGGGGATGTTAAAACAATCACAAGTGGCAAAACTGGTCACAAGTTGCTTTTTTAGTGCCGTTGTAACTGATCGGTCACTAAACGAACGGTTGCCAATAAAGGAGAATATTTGTAGCTCAGGGTTGAAATGAGGGGTCCTTGATGTTCTCTTGAGCTTGGTTATTTTCTTCCAGACATTTCATTACCCCAACTAGGTAACATCATCAGTGCTATCCCAAAGGTGCTTTTTTCAACTGGACTTTCTGGTTTTTCTTTGAAGACGTTTCACTTCTCATCCAAGAAGCTTCTTCAGCTCTGACTGAATGGTGGGGAATGGAATCCAGTCAGAGCTGAAGAAGCTCCTTGAATGAGAAGCAAAACGTCTTCAAAGAAAAACAAGAAAGTCCAGTTGCCCCTCTGCATAGACATCATCAGTGCTAGTTACCTAGTTCGGGTAATGGGTCTTCAAGAAAGCAACCAAGTTCAGAGGGCACCAAAGACCTCTCAAACAAATGGTTGTAAGTCGAAGACTACCTTATAAAGAGAGGAGAGCTTGTCTGGGTCAGAGCCAAGCCCCTTCTACCGTGTTTTCCCAAAAATAAGCCCTCCCCTGAAAATATTTAAACACATGTGCAGCCGGTCCCCGCCATTTCCTTTGGTTAGGGTTAGGGTGACAGAGCTGGAAGTCAGGTAAGACGGCAAGAGGAGCCCCATCTTGCTCCACGCGTCCCAAAATAATAAGACCTTCCCGAAAATAAGGCCAAGTGTTTATTTCGGGGTTCAAAAAAATATAAGAAAGGGTCTTATTTTCAGGGAAACACGGCAGCATTGAATTCATTGTGATTTTATGTGCTTTGTATTTTAACATGAATGAAAGCCCCAGTACATGCCCCAAAGTAATGCTACAGGATCCCGTCTGGCTTGGTTTGTATTTCAAGGTGGATGTTTGACTGAGGCCTACCTTGTACTCCATTTCTTTCTTTACAGCTGAGGTCGTGCAGTAAAAGTGAACTGATCTCAAAAAGCGCCGAGATTTTAATGATGTTCCAACAAGTGCACCGGAAGCCCATGGCTTCTTTTGTCACCACTCCTGTCCCTCCAGACTTCACAAGGTACAGCTTCAACTACGGTATTTACGATTGATCAAATCTGTTGCTTGACCTAGAATGGATCACTTGTTTCTCAGCCTTGGCTACCTTTAAAATGTGTGGACTTCAAACCCCAGAATTCCCAGCCAGGCGTAATAAACAAAAATGCATTTGAGCTCAAAACATGTAACCTTCTCAACTTGCATAAGGCCTGGCATTTATGCAGAGAATGTGAGAAACACTTTTTTTTAATAGAAATGCTTCTATGATAATTAATCACTATAGTTTAATGAGTTTTGGAGAAGAGATTTGCATCGTTAGCAATCAAGAAGAATTTAAATGGTTCTCTGAGGGAGATGCCCAGTTAATAAATAGAAAATATATACAAACCAACAAGGTTCTTTTTATCTTTACACTGTAAAATAATTGCAACTTAGAGTTATAGATGAAAATGTTTTTTTTAGATTAGCCAGTGATAAGCTAGTGTGAATGAGGTAGAGGGGGAGATATACGACACCACCTATCTCCTGTTTACAACACAGTCCTTTCAACAGTTCCAAAAAGGTTCCACACCCATGGTTCTTAGGCAGATACAACGATAACAGAATAACAGAGTTGGAAGGGACCTTGGAGGTCTTCTAGCCTAACCCGGCCCCCTGCTCAGGCAGGAAACCCATTTCAGACAAATGGTTGTCCAATCTCTTCTTAAAAATTTCCAGCATTGGAGCATTTACAACTTCTGGAGGCAAGTTGTTCCACTGATGAATTGTTCTCACTGTCAGGAAATTCCTCCTTAATTCCAGGTTGCTTCTCTCCTTGATTAGTTTCCATCCGCTGCTTCTTGTCCTGCCTTCTGGTGCTTTGGAGAATAGGTTGACTCCCTCTTCTTTGTGGCAGCCCCTCAAATATTGGAACACTGCTATCGTGTCACCCCTAGATACTCTTTACTAAGAAGACTCATGTATTTTGAAATTAAGACAGACTGAAATTGAGACGATAGTGCACCTGCTTCTGAAATATCCTATCTACCAAGTTTAGAGGGCAGAATTAAATTCCTCTTTAATTACAATCTATTCGGATCATTCTAATGTAGCAGTTCTGCACTGCCTCCTGAACAATCCAGTTTGGTCTCGTGGTTGAGGCACCAGGCTAGAAAGCGGGAGACCGTGAGTTCTAGTTCCACTTTAGTCATGTAAGCCAACTGGGTGGCCTTGGGCCAGTCACCATCTCTCAGCCCAAATCTCTTCAATGGGTTATTGTGGGAAAAATAAGACGAAAGTGTTGGATATGTTTGCCACTTTGAATGATTTGTAAAAACAATCAGGTGGGGTACAAATAAATAAATACGAAAGTCTCCAGACTTGTATCATTGCTATGAAGACTAGAAGCTTTTAGATCTGATTGTTACCCAGGTGTATGTAATATGTGTTGCATGAATACCATAGGTGTGTATTGAAGGTTGTATGATGCACTTTTTTAAAACTTCTGTATGTTTTGTTTATGGCCATATATTTTAATAAAATATTACCATCCCTTTTTAAAATCATGTGAAGGAACTTTGACGTTTCCTGCAGTTTAATAAGGAAATGTGTGAAGAGTTTTTTTAAAAAATATAGGGGTTTGATGCTTTTTCTTTTTCTCTGCAGCGAGTTAGTTCCTGCTTATGACTCAACTACCTTTGTCCTGGAAAATTTTAGGTAAGAACATTACCTAATTCTAATTAATTCTTTAGAAGTGGGTCTGCGATGACTGCCCCTTCAGGAAAAGATGCATCTGCTGAAAAGAGTGACATCCTGGCACTACATCTGTTCCTCCACTGGAATGCCCCCTTTTGAAGCAGAATCCAAAGCATAACACATTAAGAGCCATGGTGGTGGCACAGTGGTTAGAATACAGCATTGCAGGCTAATTCTGCCAACTGCCAGTAGTTCAGTTCTCATCGGCTCAGGATTGACTCAGCCTTCCATCCTTCCGAGGTTGGTAAAATGAGGACCCAGATTGTTGGGAGAAATATACTGACTCTGTAAACTGCTTAGAGAGGGCTGTAAAGCACTGTGAAGCGGCATATAACTCTAAGTCAGGGGTGTCAAACTCAAGACGTCATGGCAGCATCACATGACGTATCAGGACTTTCCCCCCCCTTTGTTAAACTGGGTGTGGGCATGGCCAGCACGTAACGCATCCGGCTAAGGGCCGGGAGTTTGACAGCTCTGATCTAAGTGCTGTAGCTATTGCTATTAAGGAATGGGGTTTTTTTGGAACTGAGTCTATATTCAAAGGCTGCTATCATTCCATGTGCTAAATTCTTCTCTTTCAACTGTCTTAATAGCACTTTACGCCAGCGAGCAGATCCAGTTTACAGTCCACCACTTCAAATTTCTGGGCTTTGCTGGAGGCTGAAAGTGTATCCAGTAAGTTTTAATTGATGCTTATTTACTTATTTAATTTTATTCATCATATTTAGGAACCAACCATCTCCATCGCAGAGGGACTCTGCACAGTGTACAGATAAAATATTAAAAGCATTAAAAGCAGCATATAAAATATAAAATTTAAACTGAAAAGAGACAAGTGATGTTAAAAATTAATTAAATAGGATTGATAGCATTAAGAGATACTTGAATTATTCTTGTATTACTTCTGATGCACTTCAGTACTCTAGTCCTATGATTAATCCTGATTAATCCTGATATATTGTTCAATTTGCTGAAATTCAGGACTTCAAAATGTAGCTATTTGAATGTAATGTTTTGATGAATGCAGACTAAACATAGAGCCCCAATATAAATATTAACAAATATATTTTAGTATAGGTAAGCCAAAAAAAATACCCATTGATGATATGCTATATAGTATGATTGTTTCCCCTTAAAAGCTGATTAACCACAAGTAATTTTCATTGACTATTAAAAATGAAGCTCATTATTTTCTAACTGAGTCATGTCAGAATTGCTACTTAATATGCTTTACCTGAATTCCTTCTTTTGGGAAAGCCTGGACATTATTTTATGTTTAAGCCCATTCCTAGTCAAACAAATTGTTTGAAAATACAGCAAAAATGGATACAAAACAAAAATCACTTGCTTTGACAGCTTGCCTAATTTTTGTACAAGACATCCCAGATTCATTATTTTTCATACTTGAGCACTTGAAATCAGAATGTCTGTGGCTTTCTGTTGCGTTCTGTTTACTGAATGAATATTAAGCTATTCTGCTGACTAAGAAACACTGAGCTTTGATTCATTATGGGGGACTTTTTGTTAAAGGTGTCAGCACATGATAACAGAATAACAGAGTTGGAAGGGGCCTTGGAGGTCTTCTAGTCGAACCCCCTGCTTAGGCAGGAAACCCTATAGCATTCCAGACTAATGGCTGTCCAATCTCTTCTTGAAACCTCCAGTATTGGAGCACCTACAACTTCTGGAAGTTGTTCCACTGATTTATTCTCCCTGTCAGGAAATTCCTCTTTAGTTCTAGGCTGGTTCTCTCCTTGACTAGTTTCCATCTGTTGCTTCTTGTCCTGCCTTCAGGTGTTTTGTATCAGTTGACACAAGGGATGTGAGTTTCAGTGAACAAGCCATTTCTTTGAGGCAACAAAGGAAAAAAGATGCAAGGGAATATTACCCTTTTTAACTTTAGATATGTGAGCTCTGCATCTGATGAAAAGTTGACTTCCGTCACAGTCGGGATCTATAAATAAGAACTTCAAAAGCTCTTTTGATTGCTCTGGATTTATTCCTAACTTCTACTTTAATTTTTGTGTGTGTGAAGGATGGAAACGGCGTGGTACGTGGCTACTATTTATCGGTATTTCTTGAGCTCTCAGCTGGATTGCCAGAAACATCCAAGTAAGAACTAATGCAAGCATCTGGTATTATCTGTTGCATGCCTTACCCACAATGTTTTATTTATTACTTATTAAACAAATTTATATAGCCACCCAACTCTCACATTGGTTACTCTGGGTTTACCAAATTGGGAAAAAAAATCCACCAATATCATAAATACCCATTAAAAAAACATTTTGCCCTCCTCCCCACATGTGGCAGTAATTTTCGGTCCCCAGACCCACTGACAAAACCACGTTTTTAGGGTCTGTCAGAAAAGCAACAGGGTGGGGACCAACTCTGTCTCAGGGGGAAGGGAATGATTTTCCATAAAGAAGGGACCACCACCAAGAAGTCCCATTTTTGTGGTCCTACAAGATGACAATCCCTAATTAATGTTGTGTTAATGTAAGCAGAGTCACAGTTACGTGTCTGAGTTTGCCTTTTATAAATCTAACCTGCAAAACTCCAGCATCTGTCTAAGAATTATATGAGAAAAAAGGAAAAGTGCTGGTCTCATTTGAGCTGTTCTTCCTTAGAGTGAAAAACTGATTTTTCCACGCTGCACTTTCCACATAATTCACAACACAACATTTATTTTATTTATTTATTTATTTTATTTTATGTGATTTGTATGCCGCCCTATCTCCGTAGACTCAGAGCGGCTCACAACAATAAGACAAACCCAATGAAACATAAAATACATACAAAATACATAAATGCATAAATATAAATTTAAAACATATATTGAAACCCATTAAAATAATCAAACCCCCTCAGTCCAGGTTGGGCGATTTTCAGGACCACCGATTCCATCCAATATCAGCCCAGCCAATTTAATCAAGCAAAGAGAATCTGCTATTGATCCTCCATTTTGGGAAAGTCTGGGAGCTAAAAAGAGGAGGTGCTGTTTTGGTGTGACATTGCTGATGCCATAGAGCAGGGGTGTCAAACTCGATTTCATTGATTTTATCAGGGTTGTGTTTGACCTCAGGGGGCCAGGGTGGGCATGGCCAGCAACGTCACTCGTGTCGTGGGCACCTGTGGAGGCCGGAACACTCTTGATAGTGAAAACGGGCTCCCGAGTTCCGTTTTCAGCTGCTACAGCCTCCTGCAACCCTCTGCCAGCAAAAACGGAGGTCGGGAGGACCACACGCAGCCCTCCCAAGTTCCATTTTCACTGGCAGAGGCACCGCAGGCCAGTCCTTTGCTGTTTCCAGGTCGGCCCCATGGGCCAAATCTAAGCGGGCTGGATATAGAGCAGCATCCCAGCTGAGATCAGGCTAATCATCTCCTTATCTAACCATGCCTATCGAGATGAGGTGGACCGGTTGCTTTCGTGGTGCAGAGACAATAACTTGGTCCTTAACACCAATAAGACCAAGGAGCTTAGAGTGGACTATAGAAGGAATAGATCAGACATCCAGCTCTTGCTTATCAATGGAGACCGAGTGGAGCAAGTGACCGAGTGGAGCAGTTTTAAGTTTCTGGATGTTATCATAAAAGAGGAGCTGACCTGGGGCACTCATATTGCAGCATTGGTCAAAAGGGCCCAGCAGAGATTATACTACCTGAGACTTCTCAGGAAACAACAACTGAACGAAAAACTGCTGGTGGCCTCTACCGCTGCACCATAGAGAGTATTTTAATTTACTGCACCTGTGTATGGTTTGCCAATTGCACAGTGGCAGATAGGACAATGCTCCAGAGTGTTTAACGTCATTGCCCAGAGAATCATTGGTTGCCCTCTCCCCTCTTTGGAAGAGCTTTATAGTTCCCGCTGCCTTAAGAAAGTTCAAAACATTCTTAAAGATCCATCTCATCCTAGGCACCTTTTTTTTTGAACTATTACTATCTGGCAGACGGTACAGGATAATAAAAACAAAGACAAATAGGCTGAAAAACAGCTTCTATTCCAGGGCAGTAACTATATTAAATTCTACTGTATAGTGCAATACTAACGCAATATCGGGTTTTCAGTTCAGCTGTATAGAATGTGAAGGATGTGTGTTTGTGTTTTATTTTTATAGTTACAATGTACACTGGAGATGGCATTTAATTTCGTTGTATAAGGTGCAATGACAATAAAGTAAACTTAACTTGGTGGCCCTTAGGCTAGAGATGTTCCAGAGACCCTTCAAATTTCATCAAGCCATCTTTCTGTTCTATTTTTATTGTTTGTATTTTTCTGCTGGCACGGAATTTACCGTTTTATTATTGTATTGCTGCTTCTTTGTTTCTTATTATTTGTAAAGTGTAGGGGTCTCTGGATTGGGGTAGAAAGGTGAACAAAAAAATAAACACTAAAGAATGAATTTTCAGTTATGTGAAAAGAGGGAAATTGGCAAAAATTAGTACTCTCTGAGTTACTCTTCAGAAATAATCTTCTGGGTTAGAAATGTGAAATTCACATTTTTGTGAAATGTGAAACTGCAGGGTCCTTTTGGTGCTCTATGAGCTTGATTGTTTTCTTGCAGACATTTTATTACCAAACTAGGTAACATCATCAGGGCTTAGACAATCCTGACCAACAAATAGTCTCTTCTAAATGTGAAACTGTTAGAAGTTTGAAAGTGCACGCTTTGTCCATTAGCTTTGCCTGCTGAGTATTGCACTAGACTGTTATGTGTGGCTATTAAATTGCTCTCAGCGTATGGGAAAAGTGGTTTGTGTTGTGTAAATAGTGTTGTTTGCCAGTCATCTTTAGCAATCAATCAGAATAGAGCTGGAAGGGGTCTTCGAGGTCTTCTAGTCCAACCCCCTGCTCAAGCAGGAGACCCTATAACATTCCAGACAAATGGCAATCCAGTCTCTTCTTAAAAACCTCCAGTGATGGAGCACCCACAACTTCTGGTGGCAAGCTGTTCCTTTGGTTAACTCTCCTTACTGTTAGGCAGTTTCTGCTTAATTCCAGGTTGCTTCTCTCATTGATTAGTTTCCATCCATTTTTTTTTTTGTTCAGCCCTCTGGTGCTTTGAAAAATAAATTAATCCCCTTCTCTTTGTGGCAGCCCCTCAAATACTGGAAGATTGCTAGCAAGCTAAGAATCCTGGACTGCTGTAGAGAGATACCTTACTTTTAGCAGGGAACAGAAGCCCAGCTGAAATATTTGCCTGTCTTCCATGCACAAAAGAGGATTCTTTCTTCTAAAAAACTTCATGACATCTAAAATAAAATAATTTATTGGACCTGAATGCATTATTCCAGAAATGTAAAACCAAAATCCTGGTCCCCTGTTATAGCTGCTAGTTAATATATTTTATTTGAATTCTTTCTTTTGGAAAAGCTTGAACATTTAGAGTAAGATTTAGTTTTTATCTTGATTACTTCTGTTTTTCAAGATAAGGTACAAGGGTCACTGCATACTTTAAATCTTCCAGATAAGTTTCCAAGTTGGTTATGTACTTATTTGTCTCCTCTCATTTTAAACCATTTGGTGGCATTTTAATGCCAAGGCACCACACCATCTGCAGTGCCCTTGGCATTTCATGCACAGTTTTGCGTGGGATGGCCAGAACCTGCATGTTCTTTCTTTCTTTCTTTCTTTCTTTCTTTCTTTCTTTCTTTCTTTCTTTCTTTCTTTCTTTCTTTCTTTCTTTCTTTCTTTTCTTTCTTTCTTTCTTTCTTTCTTTCTTCCCTTCCTTCCTTCCTTCCTTCCTTCCTTCCTTCCTTCCTTCCTTCCTTCCTTCCACAGTAGCATCATTTAATGTAATGTATTTTTCTAATGAAAGATTCTGTATATATTTTATATGCTCAACAAAATATAATTTTGGAATATGCATCCTTGAAAACAAGATATACTACCTTAATATCTTTCAGATAATGTAAGACATTGGGTTATTTTATAAGTCTAAGATGAGCCCAATGAAAACAGAACTGTTGATTTTTATTCACTGCATTCTTTTGGTCGAGAAGGTCTCCATCAATTGTTAATGTGTACCTAAAATTTTGGAAAATATGGGTTTTGCATAATAAACCTGACCCTGGGATACTGTAATCGTCATAAATATATGAACCAGTTGTCAAACATCTGAATTTTGATCACGTATTTATATTTGCTGCAATCGTTAAATGATTCATGCAGTTATTAGGTAAATTTGGATTTCCTATTGACTTTGCTCATCGGATTAAATTTCCATTTGTGTAATGGAAATTTTTTGGCGCAAATACTTCTTATTTTCCTTACTGCATCTTATTATGTACACCCAAGTTGATCTGAAAATTACCTGGAGAAAATATGGGAATGCACAGATACAAAGTAGAAAGAATGAAATACTGAACCCTTCCTTCCTTCCAGATATGAATATCGTGTTGAGATGGTCCATCAATCCACTAATGATCCTGCAAAAAACATCATTAGAGAATTTGCATCTGATTTTGAAGTTGGGGAATGCTGGGGTTACAACAGGTTTTTCCGACTGGATTTGCTTGCCAATGAAGGCTATTTGAACAGGCAAAATGACACGGTCATATTACGGTAAGAAAGTTTATGAAAGGGCATCGTAGTTGGTCTTCATGGCAATAGGATGGCAAACCTCTATGCTACATTAGGGGCTCTTGGTCTTAAATGTTTTTCTTGTGAAAATACATTGTGTAGGGTTCAAAAATAAGAAGAGGGAATCTTTTCATTAGTAGCCCTTCTTATCTGGAATATTGTCTTTAGTAGGGAAGTTGAAGTTCGTGCAGGTCTGGATGGGGAGAAACAGGCTTCGACTCAACCCTTCCAAGACCGAGTGGCTGTGGCTGCTGGCATCCCGGTATAGCCAGCTGGTGCCATTGCTGGTTATTGGGGGCGAATCACTGGCCCCCACGGAAAGGGCCCGCAACTTGGGTGTCCTCCTGGACACACGGCTGTCTTTAGAAGAGCATACGACGGCCATGGCCAGGGGGGCTTTCTATCAGGTTCGCCTGATACGCCAGTTGCGCCCCTTTCTGGATCGGGACTCCTTATGCACGGTCACTCATGCCCTCGTTACTTCCCGCCTGGACTACTGCAACGCTCTCTACATGGGGCTCCCTTTGGGGTGCACCCGGAGGCTCCATCTGGTGCAAAATGCGGCCGCGCGGGGGATTATGGGAGCGACGGGGCGCTCCCACATGACACCTCTCCTGCGCAAGCTGCATTGGCTTCCGGTGGACTTCCGGGTGCGCTTCAAGGTGTTGGTGACCACCTTTAAAGCACTCCATGGCTTAGGGCCGGGGTACTTACGGGACCGCCTTCTGCCACCAATTGCCTCCCACCGGCCGGTTCGCTCCCACAGAGAGGGCCTCCTCAGGGTACCGTCAGCCAGACAATGTCAGCTGGTGACCCCCAGGGGGAGGGCCTTCTCTGTGGTGGCACCTACCCTCTGGAACGATCTACCCCCAGAGATACGAGTGATCCCAGACCTCCGGACTTTTCATCGGGCCCTAAAAATTTACTTTTTTCAGTTAGCCGGGCTGGCCTGATTCCATGTTGGTTTTAAAGTTGATACTGATTTTTAATTGAAATGTTTTAAATTATGGGCCAAATTTCATTTAATTATTTTTAAAATTATTTTAACTTTTGTGTACAAATGTTTTTATTTTGGCTGTTCACCGCCCTGAGTCCGAAAGGAGAAGGGCAGTATAGAAATCTAATAAAAGATAAAGATAAAGATAAAAGAAGTTCCCTGAAGATGGGCTCCAGCATGAGTCCGAAAGCTCGGAAGACAAAACCTCTAGTCCCGGTCACACATCCAGATTTTATTATCTTTTCTGTGCCAGATACATTTTAACTTTTTATTGCTTCTTTTATTGTTACTACGTTACACATTTTAATTATAATGTTTCAATGTATAGTTTGATTGTTTTAGAACTTTGGGCATTTTTAGTTTGTTGTAAATCATCCTGGGAAAATCTGGCTTTTTTTAAGAATGACATATAAATGTTAAATACAAATGACTAATTGTTTCTTTTAATTGGTTGGACCCTAAGCAAAATTAGATAATGGCTTAAATCTCTTAGCAGATTTCTTATTGGGATTATTGCAGTTTAATGAATAACAGCTAGCAATTAAGTGTTAAAAGGAAACACAATTTTCCCAGTCCCATTTCAGAAGCCAAGTAAACAAGCATCAATAAACAAAGGGTGACATTTTGGCATTAGCCAGTTTAATTAACTGAATGCAGTTTAAAGCCCTAATCCCTTGGAGTAAATGAGATAGTGTCGGATAAGACAACCCTGCTCTCCTAATAATGCCATCCTGTTTGGATTATGGAAACATACACATACTGGAGGAAGTTGGAGAGAATCCAAATGCTGAAATCACTTGCATTTTTTTGGGTAAGCTTAGTGAACTTTTTGACATGCTGTTTCTTCTAAAGGTTCCAGGTGCGTTCACCTACGTTCTTCCAGAAATGTCGGGATCAGTACTGGTACATTTCTCAGCTGGAAGCTGCTCAAACAAGCTACGTCCAGCAAATAAATAATCTGAAAGAGGTAAGCATTACTACATCACACAGTAGATATGTATGTATGTATGTATGTATGTATGTATGTATGTATGTATGTATGTAAAACATTTCTATAGCCATCTATCTTCTAACCAGCTCTGGACAGCTCCCAATCCAAAAGTAAAACAACATGTAAATCATATTAAAACCATGAAATTAGATTAAAGCATTAAAATACTAACACTGTGTTCCTTTTTTTCTAATTCAAACTGGAAGCATGTGTAAAAAGGTTCAAGTTAAGATATACAGAGAGTCCTTGACTTACAACCACTTGTTTAGTAACCTTTCGAAATTATAATGGCACTGAAAAATTGACTTATGACTGGTCCTCAAGTTTACGACCATGGCAGCACTCCCACAATCACATGGCCAAAATTCAAGTGCTTAGCAACCTGCAATTGACAGTGGCAGCCTTCTGGAGTCATGTGATCACTATTGCACTATGAAGCGGTATATAAATCTAAGCGCTCTTGCTATTTGTCACCTTCCCTGGGTTTCTGACAAGCAAAGTCAATGGGGGAACCAAGATTTGCTTAACGGTCACATGCTTCACTTAACTGCAGTGATTCACTTAACAATTGTGGCAAAAAAATGATCATAAAAATGGATGCATTTGTTGCATTTGTTTAGCAGTGAAAATTCTGGTGCCAATTGTCATAAATTGAGGATTACCTGTATTAAAAAACCTGATTTATCTTGCTTAGTATTATCATCAACACAGCTTTCCCCATCTGGTGCTTCTTGGATATTTTTAGTCATAATTCCCTAGCCAAATGGACACAGTTTGCACTTGTATTTATTTCATTATATTTAGAAGGTACCGGGTTGGTAAAGGATGTCATACACTAGGCAACAAAGTATTTTAGAGTAGGCCTGAGCATGCTTTTGGTACTGCCTTATTTCAGGTATGTACTTTTTTTGGAATTTCAGGCTTTGAGGTAAGCCCAAGAAAAAGTGCAACATTTTAAGCACGAGGCAGCAGGATTGGGTATGCACCTCATCTTCCCTGAAGCACCTTTTAAACTTCAAATGCATACCTCCTTTAATACGTGTCATGGAAATTCTGATGATAGCCAGTAGATCTTCCAGTCTAAATACTCTTATTTTTAATGGGTCAGCTGTTGGAAAAATCAGAACAGGAATTGCACAGAGAAATTAGAATTAGGACAGTGAGAATAATTAAATCAGTGGAACGGCTTCCCTCCGGAAGTTGTGGGTGCTCCATCACTGGAGATTTTCAACAAGAGATGGGACAACCACTTGTCTGAAACGGTACAGTTCCCTGCTTGAGCAGGGGGTTGGACTAGAAGTGTTCCAAGGTCCCTTCCAACTCCTATTATTCTGTTAAATCTCACTCACCCAGAAGCTGAATCTAAGTGACAGTGCCAATCTGTTGTGTATAGTGGAGACCAGGGTGTCTGTTGTGGCTCCATTACCTGAGCCTGTGTCATCAGCAGGAGAGGACTCCGAGAATGAAGGAGAGGAGTTGGCAAGGCCTCCCTCTCCAGGACCCTCCTCTCTGGCAATGCCTTCGGTGTCTGCCGAAAGGCAAGAGATAGGGCCGGGGCCAAGCACGTCCACACAGCCACAGGTGGACAGTGATGAGGGTAATGAGTCTTGGCTGGATCCTCGGCAGCATTGCAGAGATAAGCGTGCGCAACAGAAGAAAAGGCGTGCCAGAGATTAGGCTGAGTCACTGGACCACACCCCACAGGGTATAAAAGGGGGTGAGGTGGCCATTCAGACTCTGTGACGGACAAAACTAACTACTATCGAGTCACATTGCATCTTTGGAAACAACATTATCGGCCTTGGATTCATTTTACGAACTGGACAATTCTTGACTGTGGGTATTTTGTTTATTGAGTAAAGTTCTTGGCAAGCAGCTACTGGGTTGCTGCCAAGCGTCTTATCGGAAGAATTGGTTGTCTGCCAGTTTATTTAACCCCCGGCTGTCTGTTTGTGTGCGTGTGTGAGACGGGGACAGAACAGTATCATCCATTCCTGTTACCTAGTCTCTTCTGCAGTAGAGAAGACAGATAAAGGAGAAGTGTAGTTCAGGGTTGAACTGAAGGGTTCTTGATGCTCTCTGAGCTTGCTTGTTTTCTTGCAGACGTTTCAACTAGGTAACTTCATCAGTGTCTAGCACTGATGATATCACCGAGTTGGGTAATGGAATGTCTACAAGAAAACAACCAAGCTCAGAGAGCACCAAGGACCCTTCAGAGAAGAGAAAGCTGGAGGATGGGAAGATGCGGTGGCACCAATTTCATCTCACTCAGCTAGTGTGTCACTTTCCAGCCTACCCGCTTTAGGGCATTATGCTGTAGTTTGGTGACTTGATCAGTTTGGAGGGATTGTTGGTCCATTGTCATTTCACGCGCTTAACAAGCTGGCATTACTTTTGCCTCTCTTGGGGGGCATTCAGTAATCTCCCAAGGATTGCTCAGATCATTATTTCAGGCCTCTGAGATTTTTCCACTCACTCCCCTACCCTTTCTTGGTTTTCTTATGCTTGGATAGTTACTTATGAACAAATGACATAAGATTATTTAATCTTTCAAATGGAGGCATGTGTTTTTGCGTACACACATTTAAAGGTAATTTTACTTAGATTAATGTATGGTCCATATTCTTAAGACAATGTCATAATTACCTACTGTATTTTTCAGAGTATAAGACGCACCTTTTTCCCCCCTAAAAGGGGGTGAAAATTTAGATGCGTCTTATACACCGAATGTAGCCCCGCCCACCCACTGGCCCTCACCCTTTGGCCTCTGCCTCCCAGCAGTTACCTCCTTGCAAGCAAACAGCAAGAAAAAACAGCTCCTTTCAGCTTCAGCACAGCCTAATTAGCACAAATTGATTGGATCGACTCTCAGCTGATTTGCTCTCAGCTGTTTTGCACAGGCTCTGCTGCTTGCTGCAAAGAGGTAAATTGCTGGAGCAGATTTTTTCCCCCTTGTGCTAATCAAGCTTTGCTGAAAATGAAAGTAATGCAGGCTGTTTGCTGTTTGCTGTTTGCTGCAAAATTGCTCAGAGGCAGAGGGAGATTTCTTTTTCTTCTTTTCCTCACCAAAAAAGATAGGTGCATCTTATACTCCAGTGCGTCTTATACTCTGAAAAATATGGTAAATCATTTTTTGCACCTAAACTCAGTATATAATTCGGCCACTTTTCATGTATATGGTACTGAGACACTTTTTACTTATCTATGTTTATTTATATTTTGTATTTCTTAACCCCCCCATCTCCCTCAGAGTTCAGAATTTCCTTTTTTCCCCCCTTTTGATGTTGATTTCCCAACATCAGTTGCTTTTCACTCCTTTGTGGTTTCCCATTATTAAATCATCCCTTTGAACTACTTTTAAATTGTTAATCATTTCAAAAATTTTAGAATAATACCTGATTCGGTATCGTCTTCACAGAGGACTCTTGTACCAGTGATGCTCCCAAATTAGAGCATGCTAGTTTGGGTTGGGTCCTGCTCTCACTGCTTTCAGAAATCCCATCAACACTGTCATCTGTTTTTTCCCCTCTTTTTTTGCTTACCTGTTTAAAAAAACAAAGAGGCTTGCAATCGAGCTTTCCCGGACCCAGAAATCCCACGGCGTCTCCCCTCCAGATACTCACCTTAGCCCACAAAGCGACGATGGCCTGGAAACGAGACCGAAGAAATCGGGACCAAACTCAGAAGTGCTCCTTGAGGCTGTGGCCAGCACAGCACCTCCCAGAGACACAAAACAAGAAGAGGAGGAAAAAATACAATATGAAGACTTTAATGTAAGTACAGGTAATCCCCGGGTTATGAGCATTCCCCGACAAGCGCCCCCTTGTGTTTACGAACAAGTCCCGAAACTACGAATCTGGCAGCACCACGGCAGTTGTTCTCCCTTACAAACAACCGCAGAGGCTCTGCAACTTGCGACCTGCACTTTGCCAGCTGAAATGGAGCTCCGTTTCGGCCTGCAAAATGCCAGGCGAGGTCTGTGCAGGCCTAAACAGAACGTCAGATGGGGGTGCGGGACTGAGTGGCTGGAGAAGAGACTGGCTAGATCTTTGCATGTGTTGTAGCTCCGTTGCCTGAGCCTGGGCTATCGACAGATGCAGACTCTGAGTGTGAGGAAGAGGAGTTGGCAAGGCCTCCCTCTCCAGGGCCCTCCTCTCTGGCAATGCCTCCGGGGGACACCGAAGGCCAAAAGATAGGCTCAGAGCCAAGCACGTCCCTGCAGCCACAGGTGGACAGCGATGAAGAAGATAAATGCTGGCTGGACCCTCGGCAGAGGCGCAGGGAGAAGCGTGTGCAGCAGAGGGGAAGGCGTGCCAGAGATTAGCTGAGTCACTGGACCACAACCCACAGGGTATAAATGTGGGTGTGGTGGCCGGTTCAGTTTGTGACGAGCAAAAACTAGAAATAATCCATGATCTCTGCGTTACTGGACTTTGCCCTCTTTATCGGACTGCATTTGGATTAATCCTTGTATTGTTGAAAACTCTGCCTGTTTTATCGGAATGCTGGCAGTCTAATCTTTGTTTTGTGTGAGTAAAGTCTGAATTGGCAGCTAGCCACTGGGTTGCTGCCAGCTTTATTTTCAAAGAATTTTGTCGTGTGGCTTATTAACTCTGGGCCGTCTGTGGGGGTGCGTGAGTGGAACGGGGACAGAACAGCATGGTAAGTGACCCAGCGCAGCAGGTTGGGTGGGGGGAAGCAATTGTGGGGAGCATGAGGTATTTCAGTGGATCGGGGAGATCTTGGGTGGTATTAAGCAGGTGGCCTGTTCCATCACTAGGTCCCCTATGGCCTTCCCCACCCTGAAATACCTTAATGTGCTTAATAAACCACGCATTCGATTAGCGAATGTGTGGGCGAAAGGAGGGAGTGATCCCGTTCAAAGTATGAGATTCAGTCTCACGAATCCTGGGTTACAAATGGAATGGGCAGGCTCCATTCCATTCGTAACTCGAGGACCACCTGTACTCTTGCCCCCTGTTCCAATGTATTGACTGCCTACTGAACAGCACTTGTGACTCTTCTGCTCAGTGAATGGAACGGACAGGTCGTCCACCTTTGAGCCCAACATTTCTGTTGCTAAGCAAGACGGTTGTTGTGTCCATCATAGCATCCCTGTGGTCACATGGTCGAAATTTGGGGGCTTGGCAACTGGCATGTATTTAATGATGGTTGCAGCGTTCTAGGTTCACACGACTGCCATTTGCAACTTTCCCCGATCAGCAGAGTCTAATTACAGGTTAACAGAGTTGGAAGGGACCTTGTAGGTCATCTAGTCCAACCCCCCACTCATTAAGAGAGTCAATACAGGAAGCTGGATTTGTGTAATCCCTGCAGTGATTCATTTAAAAACCGTAGGGAAAAAAGGTCATAAAATTAAGCATGACTATTTCACAGTCACCTTGTTTAGCAATGGAAAGTCCAGTTCTGATTGTGGTCGTAAATTGAGGACTACCTGAAGTTGTTAAAGATTACTTGCGATGTGAGAAAAGGATCAGTAATGCTACATTTCATTGCTTTTCCTTCCTTTCCCATGACGTCTCATGTCAGCAAGGGAAATACAGGTAGTCCTCGACTTACAACCACAATTGGGCCCAACATTTCTGTTGCTAAATGAGACATTTGCTAAGTGAATGTTGCCCCATTTTACAACCTTTTTTGCCACAGTTGGTAAGTGAATTATTGCAGTTGTTAAATTAGTGACACGGTTGTTAAGTGAATTTGACTTTGCTTGTCAGAAGGACATAAAAAGTGATCACGTGACCCCAGGACACGACAACCGTCAGAAATATGAATAATAATAATAATAATTATTATTATTTCTATGCCGCCCAGTCTCCGAGGACTCTGGGCGGCTTACACCAAAGACAGTATACTGAATAGCATATTGCCCCCTAATAATCTGGGTCCTCATTTTACCCACCTCGGAAGGATGGAAGGCTGAGCCAACCTTGAGCCGGTGAGATTTGATCTGCTGATCTGCTGGACTAGCAGTCAGCTGAAGTAGCTGCAGTACTGCACCCTAACCACTGCGCCACCTCATGAATCAGTTGCCAAGCGCCTGAATTTTGGTCACATGACCATGGAGATGCTGCAACAGTCATAAGTGAAAAACCATCATCATCACTTTTTTTTCAGTGCCGTTGTAACTTTGAAAGGTCACTAAATGAACTGTTGTAAGTCAAGGACTACCTGCAATTCATAGCTCTTTGGTTTTATAAACAGGATTTGAAGTGTACATATGGAAGCTGATTTTCAGAGTCACGTTTTTCTTTTTTAATTAGCTGTTTGTGTGAGGATTGCTGCCTTCTTCCCAGCCCTTACTCAAAGTGAGTATTTTGTTTCCAAATCTGCTTCTGATTGCAGCACGAACTCTCCGACGGCGATCTGGATGTCGATTTTGTGGGGCAAGAGGAGGCGAACCATTTGGACGGCAGCAGCTCCTCCGTGAGCTCGACAGCCACCAGCAACACGGAGGAAAACGACATAGACGAAGAGACCATGTAAGTCACGGCAGGGATTTCCTTTCCTTGCGTCTGTTGACATGTAAATCCCCTTTCACGCCTCTGAGTAGGGGGGGAAAAAAATCCCAAACCCTTCAGCGATGTTCCCAAAATGTCACCGGGAAGGCTTAATGTTCATATAAGCCTAAAGCCGAGATTTTTTTTTTTCACATCCACTCAACTTGGTGAGACTTCCTGTGCGTAGGATTGGACTGCAAGTAATCCATATATTTAAGCTGCGTTGGGCAGCACTTTAATTGTAAACCTGACTATCAGATAGGAAGGCCAGAGATCTTTTATAGATAAATACATAGGGACCTTCTAAATAAGGGATAGATAAACATTTCCTCCAAAAATTGGTGTTAACTCTTAGAATAACAGAACGGAGTTGGGAGGGACCTTGGAGGTCTCGTAGTCCAACCCTCTGCTCAAGCAGGAGATGTATCAGGGGTGTCAAACTCAGTTTCATTAAGGGCCACATCAGGGTTGTGTTTGACCTTGGGGGAAGCAGGGGGGCATGGCCAGCTTGACATCACTCGTGTCAGGGGCACCTGTGGTGGCCCGAGCGTTCTGCCAGCAAAAACAGCCCTCCTAAGCTCCGTTTTCACTGGAAGAGAGCTGCAGCAGGCATATAACATATGAGCTCCATTTTTGCTGGCACCAGCAAAAGGCCAGTCCGCTGTTTCCAGGGTGGCCCCATGGAAACCCCGGGCCATCCCAACGATGCCCTTGAAGTGATGTCCCGGTGCCTGGAGGCCGTGCGGATCTGGATGGGGAGTAACAGGCTCTGACTCAACCCTTCCAAGACCGAGTGGCTGTGGCTTCCGGCGTCCCGATATAGCCAGCTGGTACCATCGCTGGCTATTGGGGGCGAGTTATTGGCCCCCACGGAGAGGGCTCGCAACTTGGGCGTCCTCCTGGATGCACGGCTGTCTTTAGAAGAGCATATGACGGCTGTGGCCAGGGGGGCTTTTTATCAGGTCCGCCTGATTCGCCAGTTGCGTCCCTTTCTGGATCGGGATTCCTTATGCACAGTCACTCAGGCACTCATCACCTCCCGCCTGGACTACTGTAATGCTCTCTACATGGGGCTCCCCTTGAGGAGTACCCGGAGGCTCCAACTGGTGCAGAATGCGGCCGCGCGGGGGATTATGGGAGCGAGGGGTCGCTCCCATGTGACACCTCTCCTGCGTGAGCTGCATTGGCTTCCAGTGGTCTTCCGGGTGCGCTTCAAGGTGTTGGTTACCACCTTTAAAGCGCTCCATGGCATAGGACCTGGGTACTTGCGGGACCGCCTTCTGCCGCCGATAGCCTCCCCCCGTCCAGTACGCTCCCACAGAGAGGGACTCCTCAGGGTGCCGTCGGCCAGGCAATGTCAGCTGGCGACCCCCAGGGGGAGGGCCTTCTCTGTGGCAGCCCCCGCCCTCTGGAACGATTTGCCCCCGGAGATAAGAAGGATATCGGATCTTCGGGTCTTTCGCCGAGCCCTGAAAACTCTTCTTTTCCAGCAAGCAGGGCTGGCGTGAACCCCGCCCCCCTTTTTTAGTTTTTAATGGTTATTAATTGTTTAGTTTTAATTTGTTAATGGGTTTTAATTCGCACTGTTTTAATTCGGGCCAAAGTATATAATTCTTTTAATTAATTTTAAATTTTGTATTGTTATGTATTTTAGTTTTGGCTGTGCACCGCCCTGAGTCCACTAGGAGAAGGGCGGTATATAAATTGAATAAATAAATAAATAAATAATGGGCCAGATCTAAGCACCCGGCGTCCCAATCGCGCCTGCGGGCCTTGAGTTTGACATCCCCCTGCCCTATATCATTCCGGACAAATGATTGTCCAGTCTCTTCTTAAAAACATCCATTGATGGAGCACCCACAATTTAATGGAAGCAAGTCGTCATACCTCTAGAGGTGGCTGAGGTGATGGGATTGAGCAGCAGTCCCCAAACTTTTTGGAACCAGGGACCAGTTTCCAGAAAAAGCAGTTTTTCCCCAGAAGGGTAGTGGGTGGGTGGGGGGAATGGTTTCACGCGGTATCTAGATCTGGCGCATGGACAGATGTAGCTTCGCTCAATTCCACAGTTCCTAACAGGCCGCTAACCGGTAACGGCCCACCCTCTGGTACCCCTAAGTTTGATCTAGGGCAGAGGTCTTCAAACTTGGCAGCTTTATGACTTATGGACTTCAACTCCTGAGCTTGAAGTCCACAAGTCTTAAAGCTGCCAAGTTTGAAGACCTCTGATCTAGGGGATCAAACTTAGCTGAACTATTTTTTTTTCTTCTCTTGAGAGTTTCTCTTTTTGTTTCGTTGTTGAGTTTATAAAGTGCATGCAGGTATTCCTCAACTTATAACCATTCATTTACTAACGTGAAAAAAGGTGAATCATGACCCATTTTCACACTTACGCCCATTGTAGCATTCCCACCGTCATATGATCAAAATTTGGGCAATTGGCAGCTGGAATGTATTGAGGACAATTGCACTGTCGCAGGGTCATATGATCACCATTTGTAACCTTCCCAGCTGGCTACCCGCCAAGCAAAGTGACATGGGGGAGGCCAGATTCACTTAAAAACCTCATGATTCACTTAACAACTGCCTCGCTTAGCAGTGGAAATTTTGGGCTCAGTTGTGGTCGTAAGTCGAGGACTACCTGAATTGTAACAGGAGATCTTCAATCATCTGATCTAACCAACTTTACTTCAGATATAAAAACCCACCACTTAAACTTAGGCTTAGAATAACTTTATTGTCACTTTGAATGTACACTAATCGGCATATGTCAAAATGAAATTTTGTTGCATACAGCTCTCAAAGGGTCATCACCTCCAATATACATGATAAAATAAATAAACAAACAAATAAATACAAAATTATGCATATACCCACCTATATTATATGACACAGAGAAATAACACAGTTTAGTTTGGATGTATACATGTACATGGCGAGAAAAATGCTTTAGGATCACCTTAAATAGATAGCTCTCTGGGTTATGTATTTAATCATTTTCCCCTCTGAAATGCTACAGTCCAGGGGTTCTCAACCTCTTCTTTAACACGGACACCTTTTTTGTGACCATGGCCACAAAGCACTAAGACTTAATTCAAGATTTAAATCATAACATTTCTTGAAGCCTTCGCGAACGCCCTGTGATGACATTGTGGCCCACCAGGGGTCTCCCTACCCCAGATTGAGAACCATTGGTATAATCCGTTCCATTACCACAGGTCACTCTTTCTGTTTTGTGTTGCAGTTGTGTAACTGCAGCTGCCCCTGGCTGCAGACGAACTCAGGATTTTATCTCATTACAGTGAAATTGTAATTTCAGAATTCCCCTGCAATTCAGAATTTTTCAAACCCTATTTAATAGAACGAACATTTTCTCAAACCTGAAGCTTAGCAAAAACTTTGTGATTTTAATTTTGCCCTCAAGGTCTGGAGAGAACGATGTGGAATACACTCACAACATGGAGTTGGAAGAAGGAGACCTTGTAGAAGAAGCCACATCTGCCCCAGCAGGGGCTTCAGGTATTCATAGAGAAAATGCTTTTTATAATGGCATTTCTGTATAAAGCATCCCTTCCCCCTTTGCCCTCATCAGAAGCCACGTGGAGTTGGGGATTCTGTAGGATTTCCTATTTTTGGAACTGCTGCGTCACATATCATATGTAGGGATTATTTAATGTAGGGCAGTCATCCCATTAGCTTAAATTCAATGGAGGCTTGCAGCTGGGATTAAAAAAAAATAAAAAGCATGTCGGTATAATACTAGCTGTGAGATTATGTTTTGGGGAAGGCTGTCAGAGAAACTTGAGTTTTTGAGAGGTTTGCCATACTTCAAGGAAAAGATTGTCCTTGGGCCTTCGTGTCTTTATAACCTAAGAAGCTTTAATGCCTTCATTTAAAACTTCTGATGTTCTTCTGATGTACATCCTCTTACTGCGGGAGGAGATCGTTTAGGCAGTAGGTAGAGAAGAATTTCAATAAATTTATGCTTTTGATTGTTGATATGAATAATTCAGAAACAGATTCTTTATACAGGCAGTCCTAAACCTCTGACCACAATTGAGCCCAAAATTTATGTTGCTAAATGAGAAATTTGTTAAGTCGGCTTTGCTCCATTTTACAACTTTTCTTGCCACGTTGGTTAAGGGAATCCCTACAGTTCAGTCACACTGAACACACGTTGCTAAGTGAATCCGGCTGTTGTAAGTTGAGGACTACCTGTATTTGATGAGGTTTTTTTAATAATCGGAAAAGGGTTGCTTTTAAACAAACACTGAAAGGATAGTAATGTTATGCTGAAAATGTGGATATATAGGACAGATTTGCCAGGTATTCTATGGGCAGTAGGAGACAGCAATCCATACTTTCATATTACAGTTCCGTTTATAACTGTCAAAATCCTTTTGTGACTTAGATAACAATCACTGGCATATGGCAGGCAAATTATACCTCTGACAGAATTTCTTGTGAGCCGAGAAATTAATTTGTATTTAGCTGATTAATACCACCTCCTTTACAACAGCAGAAATGGAGACATGAAGTCTCAGAGCAAAGTGATTGAATGCATTATTTAGGTTTTTAAATATTTTATGTTCGTGAAATCCTCAGTTAATAGTCTCTGTAGCCCACTCATTTGAAAGGATCTCCCATTCTGTTCCTTTCTTGTTCTTAAATCATCTGTTTTTAGGGAGCTTTAAAATGGGAATTTGACTTCCCAGTTAAATTAATCCATTATTAAATTGAATTCTAGACTACTTATCAACAGGGGTAATACTACCCAATTTTTCTTCTTCCTTTTTAAAGAGAGCTCATAATAGGGAAGACAAGAGAGCTAACTAACAATTTAAATAGCTTAATAACATAAACAATATTTTTATTGTTTTAAGTGTTTTTAATTATTGTTGGGCAGTGGTTGATTTTATATTGGTTTCTAGATTTTTAACTTTGTTCCTGGATCTTCCTCATTCCTTCATATTTGGCTTCCATTTCTTAACATTATTTAATAACAGAATAACAGACTTGGAAGGGACCTCGGAGGTCTTCTAGTCCAACCCCCTGCTCAGGCAGGAAACCCTATACCATTTCAGACAAATGGTTGTCCAGTCTCTTCTTAAAAACTTCCTTGTTGGAGCATCCACAACTTCTGGAGGCAAGATGATTTGATAGTCTGGTGTCAGCTATTCGCTGATTGATACAGATTTCTTTATATCTTTATTTTTAAAGATGTTTAAATCTATCATGGGTCAACAGGGAAAGGGTTCTTGCCTTTTCATTCTTGTGATGGCACATATCCCATATTTAGCGCCATTTGTAGATCTATCCATATCTAGCACCCCTGTTTTGGATTGCTAGAAAATCAAATAAACCAATCCTTTTATATTTTGTAATTGTTGGCTGTATAGATTCTATTTCCTTTTCTTAAGTTTCTAAATGTATAAAGAAACAAATATTCTCTATCCTGCATTTCTGTCTTCCCACGTACAAGATTTTGAGACCATGTTAGCAACAGCAATAGCACTTAGATTTGTATATAGCGCTTCACAGTGCTTTACAGCCCTCTCTTAAGTGGTTTACAGAGTCAGCATGTCGCCCCCAACAATCTGGGTCCTCATTTTACCCATCTCGGAAGGATGGAAAGCTGAGTCAACTTTAAGCCTGGTGAGACCCAAACTACTGGCAGCCGGTGATCAGCAGAAGTAGCCTGCAGTACTGCATTCTAACCACTGCATAACCAAGGCTCTAGGCCCCTGGTAGCGAACCTATGGCACGTATGCCAGAGGTGGCACACAGAGCCCACTCTGTGGGCACACGCGCCTTCGCCCCAGCTCCATTGGGTTTCTCCGGGGAAAGAGGGGAAGAGAGAGGGAGGGAAAGAGAGAGAGAGGGGGGGGAAGAGAAAGAGAGAAAAACAGAGAGAGAAAGAGAGAGGGGGGAAAAAGAGGAGGGAAAGAAATGATATTACAAAAGTTTTTCTTTTTTATTGTTGCTAAACGTAATATTTCAAAAGCAGAAAAAAATGAAGGGGCATAAAAGTGCAGTTATCACATTTTTCTTAGAAGAATTAGCTGAACTCTGCCTTGTTTATCATTATTTTAGGTAGTAAAACCTCAGTATTCAGGTTAAATTGCCGTGTTGGCACTTTGTGATAAATAAGTGGGTTTTGGGTTGAAGTTTGGGCACTCGGTCTCTAAAAGGTTCGCCATCACTGCTCTAGGCTATTTTCTTGAAAAAAATATCATGTTTCTCCACAAAATACCCTAATAAGTCATGTTCTTATTTCTCTATGGGTCTGTTTTAGGTACAGGTTTGCTAATGTGTAGAGTTGATTTCACTGTTAGAGGCGATGCTAATAAGATTGTCCAACTCTGGCTGATATCTAAGAATTATTGAGTGCCTAAAATCGTTATAAACTACTACTCATCTCTCTTTTTCTTCTTTCCCCTTTCTTTCTCCTCCTCCTCCTCCTCCCCCTCCTCCAGGTGGGAGCCATGCATACCGCACAACAGCCAGCCACTTGTCAAGGCGAGGAAGTGCGCTCACTTCTGCCAGCAGCAGCTTGCTTGATATAGATCCCTTGATATTAATACATTTGCTGGACCTGAAAGACAGAAACGGGATGGAAAACCTGTGGGGTCTACAGCCACGCCCACCTGCCTCACTCTTGCAGAATAGAGGTGAGTGATGAGTAGGGGAAATGAGGGGACAGAAAGCTTTGTGAAGAAGCATTCATCCTTTCCAGGCAGAAACTAAAAATTGGACCCATCATTTCTCACTTTGGGAATCCCCTTCAAAGGAGCTGATTTTTCTTGGCGATTATTCTTAAGATGTGATTCCTAACAGTATTTTAAATTGATGAAAATAAAGTTCCCCATTGAAATTAGGGAGAGTCTAAAAACCTGAAGATACCAAGAATAAGTTTTAGAAAGTTGAACTATTTAAACTTCCACAGACAAGGAATACATCGACACGTGGTTCAGGTCCTTGAGAAAAGAGGGAATTACAGGTAGTCCTCAACTTACGACCACAATTGAACCCAACATTTCTGTTGTTAAGCGAGACAGTTAAGTGAATCACTGCAGTGGTTAAGTTAGCAACACGGCCGTTAAGTAAATCTGACTTCCCCATTGACTTTTCTTGCCAGAAGGTCGCAAAAAGGGGATCACAAGATTGCAGGACACTGCAACCGTCATAAATACGAGTTAGTTGCCAAACGTCCAAATTTTGTTCACGTGACCATGGGGATTCTGCAGTGGTCGTAAGTGTGAAAAACTTTCATAAGTCATTTTTTCCAGTGCCATTTTAACTTCGAATGGTCACTTAAATGAACTTTGTTAAGTTGAGGACTACCTGTATAGTTAAAATTGTAATCATTCTCAAAATAACAGGCAGAAACGGTTTTGAATATTTGGTGTCCTATGGTACCTCTGAACGGATACCTACATGCTAAAAAAAAAATTAGACAAGATTCATTCCTTCATTCAATTAATTTCTATAGCCAGCTTTCAATTTTTAAAAAATATATATTGCAATCAAAACTAAAAACATTTTAAAACCATAAAAAATAGAAACATCCACATTAAATATATGTGAGATACTTGGCCTGTTAGCAATCCAAGAGGGAAAGCAGTGGTGGGTTCCTCCCGGTTCGGTCCGGTTCGGCTGAGCCGGTAGCGGTGACGATATGATGTCACCGAACCGGTTCTCCCCCCCCTGCCCTCCCACCCCCCACCCACCCACGTTATTCTTACCTTTTATTTGGCCCCACCCCCAATCTATTGCTGCCTCCTGAGTCCCAGCTGATGACCAGAGGGAAAAAAACTGTTTAAACTCTTGCCGCGGGGCTTCAAAGGGCCGCCCTACAGCTGATCAGTGTTAAAAGCAAACAAATGAGTCGGGTCGTAAGTGCGAGGACTGGTCGTAAGTGCGAGGACCTTCCAGAAATGACTCTGACCAGCTAGCCACGCCCACCTAGTCACATGACCTCCAAGCCACACCCACAAAATAAGCCACACCCACAGAACCGGTAGTAAAAAAAATTTAGAACCCACCCCTGAGGGAAAGCCTATATTCAGCTGGTGGTTATACCAAGATGGAATGTGATTTTAAAGCCTCATCTGTAACTTAATGGTAAGATAATGAGAATTTGGAAAGCAACGCTTGAGAAAGCAGTCAGTACAAATATTGAGAGACTTGACTGTCCTATTGGGAGCTTGAAGACACAGGCTGGCAACGCGATAGCCATGGGCACCAGGATGTGTATTACATTTGTTAGATAGCATATGTAGGGTTTGGAAACTAAATTTAGATCTTTTTAAAAATAACAACTATGCAATGTTGGCAATATCGCCATAGAGATCCTGTACATTCTTGTGTGAAGTTGTTAGCGTAGCAGAATTTTTACTTTGATTTTAATTAACTTGACGGAGACATAAACAGCCTTTCCCAGGTGGCGGTCCAGTTCAGGGGGGAAGAGGGGATGGTTTTATGGTAGGGGCACATCTTCATTTGTGTGAGTGGCAGGTTAGGCACCTGCCACTCGTGCGCATGTGGGGCTGCGAGTACCGGTGCCCGCTGGTTGCAAATAGGCCACAGCCCAGTAGTTGTGGACCCCTTCCTTAAAAAGTTGGTGCTTCTCGCTTTTTAGGAAAGGGCAGGGAACTTGTAGGTCATTGCCAGCCTTTCTCTCTCAGGTTTCTTCTTCTTCTTCTTCTTCTTCTCTTCTTCTGATCTTCTTCTTTCTTCTTCTTCTTCTTCTTCTTCTTCTTCTTTCTTCTTCTTCTTCTTCTTCTTCTTCTTCTTCTTCTTCTTCTTCTTCTTCTTCTTCTTCCTCCTCCTCCTCCTCCTCCTCCTCCTCCTCCTCCTCCTCCTCCTCCTCCTCCTCCTCCGTTGTAGTGTGTCTTTGATGTTGTCTCTCCATCTTCTGGGTCTGCCTCATGTTCCTTGACCTTCTGGAAATCAACATTATTTTCATATTATTTAGGATTAGGTTGGCACCTCGCCAATGAAAAATATCTGGTAAATGAACTTTGGGATTTATTGTCAAACACCGTAGTTTTGAATGAATTTGCTTACCTTTTAAAAATGTCACATCCTCCCATCTTTTTCAGTAGCCCATTTAAGGAAAAAAGCTGTGGCGGTTTCTCTTTTTTTAAATAAATGCAGGTAGTTTTTCATAGCTATCTTCCATTTTTTTAAAAAAAATGAACATTAGATAGTGGTGAGGGTACAAATAATATTGCACGCTATCCTGCCTCTTTTGGTTTTCTTTTTCTGTGTCTTGTGGAAATACTTACAGTTTAATTATATATTTAATGTATTAAGTACAGACTCCCTGCTTTCTTTGTTTTAATCTCTTCCCTCCTTCCTGTCCTTATTTATTTTTTTTATTTACTTTTTCATTTATTTATATTTTTCATATTTATTTGCCACCCATCTTGTAGCAAACGACTTTTATTCTTGCTCTCCTGGTGTAAGACTATATACAGCTCCCAGCCCCTAGAAGCTCTCTGCTCCTGCAACTCCATCAGGCCTTTTTTTCTAGTTTTACCCGTGCCAGAAATGGGAGAGGAGGTGGAGGAAAGGAGAGGAGAACGAGCCAGAAATAGGACTCTTTATACAGTGCAAATTGAATAGATCTTTCCCTTCCCTGTGATATTTTCAGAATCTTCCACAGTAAACTGCTTGTCACTTCACATAGAGAAGACTCAGCTGCCTGACCTTTTCTCTTAACATTTTTATTTCTTTAACATAGGTCTGTGCCTAACAGGAAGCAGGGAAAAATTAGCTAAAGCAAAAACTCTGGTTATGCTACTTTTAAGCAATTTATTGCAGATTTGTCCTCCAGAGAGGCACCTTCATGTTTGGTAGAGAAATCCATTACTGAAATGCTATTGCAGTAAAATGATCTCTTCGGTAATGGGGCTACGCGCCATTTGGATACTGCAAAGTAGTTGCATATTACAGTCCGACATTATAACCTTTAGTCAGCCATTTAAGATTTGATTTTTTTTTAGGGGAGTATTTGTTGCTGTAAATTAGCTTTTTCTCACTTAGGAGCCTCCCAAAGTCACAGCAGTCATCACGTCCTTACATTCCTGCAGTCCTCCATCATCCTTTGCCTAACTGATCATTTGCAAAGTATTTTGATATTGCTTTATTTAGAATAGAATAGAATTCTTTATTGGCCAAGTGTGATTGGACACACAAGGAATTTGTCTTCGGTGCATGTGCTCTCAGTGTACGTAAAAAATATAATCATCAAGAATCATAGGCACACTTAGTGATAGTCATAGGGAAAAAATAAGCAATCAAATCATACTAGGAAACTATAAATCGTAAGGATACAAGCAACAAATTTACAGTCATGCAGCCATAAGTGGAAGGAGATAGGTGATGGGAACGATGAGAAGATTAATAGTAGTGCAGACTTAGTGAATAGTTTGACAGTGTTGAGGGAATTATTTGTTTAGCAGAGTGATGGCGTTTGGGAAAAAACTGTCCTTGTGTCTAGTTGTTCTGGTGTGCAGTGCTCTATAGTGTCGTTTTGAGGGTAGGAGCTGAAACAGTTTATATCCAGGATGCGAGGGGTCTGTAGATATTTTCCCAGCCCTCTTTTTGACTCGTGCAGTAGACGGGTCCTCCATGGAAGGCAAGTTGGTAGCCGTGTTTTTTTCTGCAGTTCTAATTTGATACTAAATACAATTTGATACTAAATACAATTTGAGACCAAATACAATTTGATACTAAATACAATTTGAGACTAAATACAGTTTTAATTTGGTATTAAATACACCCTAATCTAATCCTTTAAACATTACATATGGGCTCTCCTTAAATGGATGTGCGATCAGAGAACGGGGAGCCACATCTCACTCTACGCGTCTTGCTTCTCCCACGCTCTACCTTCCAACCCTCTCAATAAAGAGATGGCGGGGAAGGGAAGCAGCCAGGCTGCTGTTGCCATCGGGGTGGGGTGGGACGTGTTGGGCCGCTCGGCCGGCGCAAAGAACAGGGAGGGGAGGGCATGTACCCCCCTCCCCCCAGCCTCGCCTCCTCAACTCATTTTGGTTGCACGGCAAGCAACCAGAGGAAATGGCGGGACCAGCTGCGCATGCGCGTAAGCAGTTGGGGGGGCTTATTTTGTGGGGGTGGCTTATTGCATGCGCTGAAAAGCCCAATTGGACTTATTATCCGGACATGTCTTATTTTCGGAGAAACACGGTAATACAAACATAGTACATATACATCTACATACAAAAAAAAGGAAAAAAAATACAAATATTACAGTGCACCCCCACCCCCGGAGACCACTTTTTTTTTCTTATATTTCTTCTTCTATAATAACTAAAAGATATACAATATATTCCAATTGTGCCCTTATCCCCTCCAAAACAACATATATTCTTAAGTAGGTTTATTCCCTTTGCCTTCTACCAACACTGTTTTTATAAAATCCCCCCATATTTCATTATAATTGTTTGCTTTGATCACCCCTTTTTTAAATTTAATTTCTGTTGTTAATTTATCATTTGTTGCCATGCTCCAGATTTCATTATATCACTTATTTCTTTGAATATCCCAATTTAGTCCCCAATATTTAGCCATCACTAATCTAGCTGCCATTATAAAATTTACAATCAATTCCTTTTCTGTTTCATTTATATCCCGTTTTCCCACCAGCAACAATAATGCAATTCTCGGTGACATATCTAACTTTATATTCAAAAGTGCTCTAATTTCTCTAAACACCATGTCCCTAACCCTAACCGTCCTGCTCTTTAACAGAGAAAGACCACCGGAGGCACCAGGCCATGTGGCGTGTCCCACCCGACTTGAAAATGCTGAAGAGGTTGAAGAGTCAGATGGCTGAAGTACGGAGTAAAATGTCCGATGTGAAGAACCAGCTGTCCGAGGTTCGGAGTAGCAACACCAGCTCCTCGGATGGGCAGGCCACGTACGCATTCCCTGGTGACCAGGGAGCCTTGGCGGCTTGTGGGACAGAAGGCTACAACAAGCTGCAGGAACTTGGGAGGGAGCTGCTGACAAAATCATCCCTCTCTAGCTGCTATATTCGGAATTGTAAGTGGAAAGGGGTTTAGTCATCACTTCGGTAAGAAGGGAGCCATTTACCGACCCTGTTGTGTGCAGACGTGATTACGCCTGCCTTGATAAAGCACTGATTTCAAATGAACATAAACTTTTCAATCACATATACTTTGAGAACAGACAGAGACTGAATGCTGGGAAGGTTAATCTGCTTTTGCCAAAGCATTGATTGCTGATGGCAGTTGCTTTAATAGCAATAGCACTTAGACTTATATACCACTTTATAGTACTTTACAGCCCTCTCTAAGCGGTTTACAGAGTCAGCCTCTTGCCCCCAACAATCTGGGTCCTCATTTTACCCACCTCAGAAGGATGGAAGGCTGAGTCAACCTTGAGCCTGGTGAGATTCGATCTGCCAAATTACAGTCAGCCAGCAGTCAGCAGAAGTAGCCTGCAGTACTGCACTCTAACCACTATGCCACAGTGGCTCTTTTCAATAGACAGACAGACAGACAGACAGACAGACAGACAGACAGACAGACAAGAGATAGAGGGAGAAAGAGATGAGAGAGAGAGATCCATCGATCGATCAATCAATCAATCTTCTTAAATCCTTCTTAAAGCCTATTCCTTTAAATAAGATATACCCTTCAGTCCTTTCATTCTGTTCAGGTTTTGGCCACCAAGTTACATTAAATTGCATTCACCTTCCTGCATTTAAGTTTTCTATTTGTGTTGTTTGTTCCCTGTACTCTGTGCATTTGTATACACGGTATGGATAGTAAATAGTAACATGTAGCAATAATACAGTTTCACAAACTTGGTAAATTCCAGATATGTGTTCTTTAACTGCTGGATTTCTCATCAATGGCCACATTGACTCAGGAGTTTTGAGAGTTAAAGCCCAGGGGTTGTAAACCACTGACGTAGAAAAAGCAGTTACCAGTATATATGGGAGCCTCAATTAAGGAAGAAAATATCCATCTTTGAGCTGAGATAAAATACCTTGTTTTAAAAGTTCTAAAATAATGGTAACGATAAGGGGTGATTTCTCTTTTTAGTCTCAGCCAGATATACCTTATGTCTTTCTTTTTAAAATATTACTTGTATTTAAAGCTGAAGGTTTTTTTTTTTTTAATCCTGTAGCTGCAAATAAGAAAAACAGTTCAACTAAAGTTGGTCGCTCAGGGGCAGCAGGCAGCCTGTCTTTGCGAAGAGCAATGGATTGCGGGGATGGAAATATCCTTTTGAAGCCAGATTGTCAGCTTTCCTCTGAAGGTATAAACTTATCTGGCGAATAAGTGTGCATTTGAATACTATTTTGCTGCTTGTGAGTTTCAGATTCTTGCTCTTCTAATACATGGTTGCTGTTAGAGCAGTTACAACAAAACACAATTTGAGCTGCAAACCGCCAATGATTGCAGGATGAAATGCCCACAGAATTGGTTAAGTTGGTAGAGCTTTGTGTCAAATACAGGTAGTCCTCAACGTACGATCACAATTGAGCCCAAAATTTCTGTTGTTGAGTGAGACATTTGTTAAGTGGGGTTTGCCCCAGTTTGCCACGTTTTCATTTTGCCACATTTGTTAAATGACTCACCGCAGTTCTTAATTTAGTAACCGGGTTGTCCAGATTCCCCTTTGACTTTGCTTGTTGAAAAGTCGCAAAAGGGGATCACGTGACCCCGGGAGGGACACTATAACCATCATAAATATGAGTCAGTTGCCAAGTTTCTGAATGTTAATCACACGACCGTGGGGATGCTGCAATGGTCATAAGTGTGGGAAATGGTCGTAAATCATTTATTTCAGTGCTGGTCACTAAGTGAACTGTTGTAAGTTGAGCCTTACCTGTACTGAAGAAAACGACTGTATGGCACAGAGATTGAAAAAGATTAGTTTACAATATATACCCTGTTTTCCCGAAAATAAGACCTCCCCTAATAATAAGCCCAATCGGGCTTTTGAGCGCATGTGCTCAAAATAAGCCCCCCCCCCCCCAAAAAAATAAGCCCTCCCTGAAAAATTTAAACTCAGATCTGGAAATCAGGTAAGACGGCAAGAGGAGTCCCGTCTTTCTCCATGTGCCCCAAAATAATAAGACCTTCCCGAAAATAAGATCAAGCACTTATTTCGGGGTTCAAAAAAAATATAAGACAGGGTCTTATTTTCAGGGAAATACAGTACATACTGTATACAGAAAAAAATATATATATGTTGCCCACCCATCCAATCATACACCATTACAGATAGTCCTGGTATTACAACTTCGTTTAATCACCGTTTGAAGTTACTACGGCACTGAAAAAGTGACTTTTTCTCACGACCGTCGCAGGATCCCCGCAGTGATCAAAATTAGGGCACTTGGCAAGTGGCTCATGTTTATGATGATTGCAGCATCCCGAGATCATAGGATCACCTTGTGACTTTCTGACAAGCGAAGTCAATGGGGGAAGCCAGATTTGCTTAATGACCGCATGATTCGCTTAAGAACTGTAGCAGAAAAGGTTGTAAAATGGGGCATAGCTCACTTAACAACTGCCTTTGCTTAGCAGTGGAAATTTTGGGTTTCCGTTGGGGTTGTAAGCTGAGGACTTCTTGTGGCCCGTACACGGCCTGTGCAGCTGGTGGCTGATTCGAACAGTGAGGAGGCTGGTGTGGTGCTGCGCCAGCAGCCTGTGCAGTTGGCACTCAAGTCGGACAATGAGGCTGGAGAAGATGTGGTGCCAGAGACACGGTTTCAGCCAGGGCCTTCAGAACCTCCAGAAGCTCCCATAAGTGAAGAGGACGAAGAGGAGGAGCCTCTTCTCGATGCACAGGCGTGCAGAGCTGCCAAAAGGCAAGAGTGGCTCCTCAAGAGGACGTCTCCTCGAGAGTAAGGCTTGGGGCTAATTGGCCATTCCCTTAGCCTATTTAAGGAGGAACACCGACTGAAGCAATTTGCAGGGAACAACTTCGTTCACTTTCCTTCGTGCCTTGATCTTAGTTCTCTGCAAATTTCTTCTGGGCTTTCTGCCAACCATAGTAAGATTAAGATTATTTATTCTTTGGATTCTTGCAGGCTGTTAAGAAAGTTAATTAACAGCCTTTGTTTGGGAAAAAAAAAAACTGATTTTATTTTAGTAAACTAAGGTTTGTACAGACTTTGTGTGTGCTGCGTTCTTTGGGGTCCGTAGCTGGGGCAGAACAGGACTATCTGCAGTAGTTACGCTGCACACGGCTTTCCATGTTGTTGCCGATAGATCTGTTGGAATAAAAGGTAATTTGCATCTGAAACCAATAGGGATGGAAAACAAAATCCTGCTTTTTCTCAGGTGCGCCTTGCTTGTGCCAAATATGTATTATGTATTAAATGTATATTCTTTCAAGATTGGAAAAAGCATCATGAGAAACCTGTCGTGTTTTTCTTTAAGGTTGCCTAGGAAACTCGAAGCCCAACAGTCGGCGTGGCTCGCCGAGGTCTTTGGCTTGCGCTTCAGACTCCCTGCCTAATTCTGAAGACAGAATATGTGAGGTTTCCGATTCCAATGTTGGTGCTTCTGTTTTAAATGGCATCACTGCCGGGGAAAAGGCCAGGAAAGGAATAACGGTGGGGTAAGTTCAGCGTGACTTGAAAAAAAACCCCATACAAGTAGTCCTCGGCTTACGGCCACAATTGAGCCCAGAATTTTTGTTGCTAAATGAAACATTTGTTAAGAGAACTTTGCCCCATTTTACGACCTTTTGCGCCACAATTGTACAGTGAATCACTGCGGTTGTTGAATAACATGGTTATTAAATGAATCTGGCTTCCCCACTGACTTTGCAGGTCGCAAGAGGGGATCAGGTGACCCCCGGGACACTGCAACCGTCATAAGTACGAGTCAGTTCCAAAGCTGCTGAATTTTGATCACATGACCGTGCGGATGCTGCAACGGTCATAAGTGTGGAAAACGGTCATAAGTCACTTTGTTCAGTGCCATTGTAACTTTGAACAGTCATTAAATGAACTGTTGTAAGTCGAGGATTACCTGTATATACAGTCATGGGGTTGGAAGGGACCTTGGAGGTTTTCTAGTCCAACCCCCTGCGACAGGCAGGAATTATTACACCATTCCAGAAAAAAAGGCTAACCTTGTTTGAAAACCACCAGGCTCTCACAGTCAGGGAATTACTCCTTGTTTACTCTTTCACTTATATAAAGCTTCCCCTTCATGGTTCTTGTCTTTTGGTGCTACGAAGAGTAAACATAAAGCCAAGTCTTCCCTTTGACAGCTTTTCAAATGTGGGTGCTCCAACACTGGAGGTTTTTAAGGAGAGATTGGACAGCCATCTGTCTGAAATGGTATATCGGGTCTCCTGCTTGAGCAGGGGGTTGGACTAGAAGACCTCCAAGGTCCCTTATGACTCTGCAATTCTGTTCAATGTTGGAAAGCTGCTGTTGTGTCTCCTCTGGCCTTCTCTCCTTTCATCCTGCCTCCTTGTATCTTCATTTGGGAGCGCATCTCATTTCCACTTGTTTTCTAGTCTTCCAAATGGATAAACTGTACCAGTGTAAGAAATTTAACACTTCTGGAGTTCTTCACTATTACTTCTGCTGTTTACAATTTAAAAGGCGGCCTCTAATTTCCCGTAGAGACCTGGAAATATGGCAAGTCCGAACATCAATTTTAAATGCTTTGCCATTGCGTTTCACTCTCAGAAGAACTTCCTTCCCTGTTTTCATTTGTATCTACCAAGGTTGGTATCATAAAGCGTAGCATGGAATAGTTTACCGTTTCAATTCAAATGAGGATATGATCGTGGCCTTTCAGGAAAAAAAAAATCTGTTTTTCAGATCAACACTGAAATCTGTTAAAGGATAAAAATGTATATTTTAGGCTTTGGGGCTGGGTTGTTTTTTTTTTTAACCAACCTGCCTCCTCTCTTTTTAGGCCTAATTCAAATCGATGTCGTCTGGAAGCGGCTGAGGCAAATGATTTGGAAAACAGCTCTGAAGCCAGAGAGCTTCAAGTGGTGTCCTCTGAAGGGGCTTCAGCAAATCTGGAGGAAGGTAAGGCTGAGTTCAGGATTTCAGAGAAAAACTAGAGATGTCCTGGTGTCTTCCTGTTAACCCACATTCAAGTGTTACAACGCTGAGAGACTGCTGGAGCTAATGGTACATCAGTAACTTGAATACTGGTACTGTTCTGACCCGGCTCCCCAAGCATGACAAACCCTCTGAAGTGAACTCAAAAGATTCCTTTATTAGGAGCGCCGGCAGCCCCGGCTAAAAGTTTCTCTCTCACCGCATGCTAACAAGTCCATCCGGCAGGGAGATTAATAGTTGTCTATTCATCTGCGCCCCCTGCCTCTTATCCCCAGAGCTAGGGTGGGGCTTTGTTAGCAGCGGTGGCTCTTCTGTCCTGAGGACCGGCCCATGGATTTCCACTGCTCTCCTCTCCTCTGCCTTCTGTGCATCCGCACGTCAGGCACTGGACCCAGCTGTTCCTCCTCTTCCTCATCAGCCACCTCCAGACCTGGGGGCTGTTGACTCTCCATCTGAGGGCTGACGGATGGCCCAGTCTCTCTCTCTCTGCCCTTCCCTCTTCCCCCCCTCAGAGCCCTCAGGATGCCCTGATGCTGACCCTGACTCCCACGCCTCCTCCTCCTCCTCTTCTGATTTGGCTACTGGAGGGACCGGCGGCTGACAGGCCACAGCAGTTAGTCCTTGACGGACAACCATTCATTTAGTGACCATTAGAGGTTACCACAGCACTGAAAACAGTGACGTATGATCGTTCTTCACTCTTTAAGGCCGTTGGAGCATCCCCATGTCAGGTGATCAAATTTTGGGCACTTGGCAACTGGCATGTATTCATGACACTTTCACTGTCCTGCTCTCGTGATCACCATTTGTAACCTTCCCGGCTGGTTTCTGATAAATTCAAGGGGGGAAGCCAGATTCATTTAATGATTGCATGATTCACTTAACAGCTGCAGTGATTCGTTGAACAACCACTGGCAAAATAGGTTGTAAAATGAGGCGCAGCTATCTTAACAACTGCCTTGCTTAGCAAGGAGATTTTGAGCTCAATTGTGCTCGTACGTTGAGGACTACGACCACAATGGAGTCCCAAATTTATGTTGCCAAGCGAGACGTTTGTTTAGTTGAGTTTTGCCCCATTTTACCCCCTTTCTTGCCACAGTTGTTAAGTGAATCACTGCACTTGCTAAATTAGTGATGTGGTTGTTAAGTGAATCTGGTTTCCCCATTGACTTTGCTTGTCAGAAGGTCTCAAACGGTGATCATGTAATTTTGGGACACTGCAACCGTCATAAATATGAGTCAGTAGCCAACCGTCATAAATATGAGTCAGTAGCCAAGAGTCTGAATTTTGATCATTTGACCATGGAAGACGCTGCAGTGGTTGTAAGTGTGAAAAATGTTCAGAAGTCAATTTTTTCAGTCATAACTTTTAACGGTCATTAATTGAACTGTTGTAAATTAAGGATTATCTGTACTGTAATTGATGAGCCTTTCTTTGGGATGACGGGTTTGGTAAAATGTTTAATGGCATCTTTAAAAAGTGGTTTAAAATGCGCTTTGTGTTCCTGGAAGCCGAGGCTTGTGTTACTCTCTGGGAAGACCATAGACCAGGGGTGTCAAACTCAAATTTCATTGAGGGCCGCATCAGGGTTGTGTTTGACCTTGGGGGGGGGCGGGATGGGCATGGCCAGGTGGGTGTGGCCAGGGTGGGCATGGCCAGCTGGATGTCACATGTCTGAGGCATCTGTAGTGGCCTGGGCAAATCCCCCAGGCTCCATTTTGAGCTGGGATGGCCTCCTGCAGCGCTCTGCCAGCAAAAACATAGCTCGGAGGGGCCGTGCACACACACCCGGGCTCCATTTTTGGCTGACACAGCCTCCTGCAGTTCTCTGCCAGCAAAAATGGAACCCGGGGGGGCGGGGCTGGTGTGCCCCTCCTGAGCTCTGTTTTCACTGGCAGAGGCACTGTGGGATGGTCCTTCGCTATGTCCAGGGCGGCTCTGCAGACCAGATCTAAGGACCCCGTGGGCCTGCCATAGACACGATGTCAGCACTTCAAGCTGCATTTACTCTAGTGCTGACATAAGAAGGAGAAGCGGAGGCGTCTGGAAAGGGATGTTTGACTTTTCACCTACTTATTTTCCCTGGAGATAATATCCCCTAGGAGATGGGATGGGAGGGGGGAAATTCCTTGGAGCTGGAGCAGTAGATTAGGGGTAGAGTGACTTGGAAGATGGCCAATGAGTGCAGAGGAGTGGGGAAAGGAAAGGGAGGGTTTGGGGTCAGGAAGTCAGTGTTGTCTGCGATGGAATCAGAATTAGAATGTCGTGCTTAATAAATGGGAGTTTTTCATCAAAGACTTTGTTTGAAATGCAATTTATTTGAGACGACCTCGAAACCTGACACCTTCGCTGTGTCCAGCGATCTGCAGACCAGATCTAAGGACCCCGTGGGCCGGATCTGGCTCACAGGCCTTGAATTTGACACGCTTGCCATAGACACCCTTCTTTCTGGGTCAAAGAATTCGCTCTTGTTTTTGGAAGTCTCTTCCTCTCCCATTCATAACTCCTGAATCTTCCTTCCACCTCCTCACTCATTGGACTCTCAGTAGGGGATGAATTACTGTTGAATGTTGGACTAAGACCCTGGCATCCATTATTACCTGCCTCATGAAGGTGTTGGAGGAGGCTCGTTTGACCTCAGGCCGATCGTTCCTTCTTAGTCCCTTTGCTGCTTTAAGCACTGTTGCTAGCAGTTGCCGCTTGACTGCTGGAAAAGGAAGAAGAAAAGGGATTTTTTTTTTTAATGGTTGCATTGTGGAAAACCCCAGGAAGCCCTTTGCTGCTTGCTCCTTTTTTTCAGAGAGGGGGAATCTGAAGTAAGAGACCCTTTTTGATTTGCCATTTTGTAGCCATGGAGACGAGAAGGTTGGCAATTTCCTTACTACAGAAGGACAAAGGAATTGGGAGCTTGTGCTCTGAGATGGGGAAATCTCACGGTACTATTGAAGCTTGCTTTTTAGGTTGGAAGCAAAGTTCCATTTTAGTGGATTATTTCGTCCAGTAAACACCCTCTAGCAGATTTGGTATAGCAGTAACAAATGTTAATAATTGCTGGGTTTTTTTTTTTATAGGACTTGGGACATTTGTCTCATTTGGAGAAGCTGCTTAATGCAAATCTGGTTCCAGATGCTTCAGTTCTTCCTTGACTGCTAAATAAGGAGCAGTTTATTTGGAGCTTTTATCAAACAGTACTTCACTGATCCGCTGCTGATAATGACATGAAGTGCTGGGTTTTAGCTGCCAGCTGTGTACAGCACCTTAAATAGCAAAAGCAAGGAGTATCATTAGGTGGATTAAGAGAAATAAGAGGGAAAAAAACAGGTTAAGTTGATTTTCAGTGTGAGCACAGCATGTGGCTGACAGCCAGTTCTAAATATGGGAACTTCTAAGTTTTGTTGATTCCAATACACAGAGAACTAGATTGTAAGTCATGCTAGAAAGTTTTAACGTAGGGAGGAATATGGATAGAGCACCATCCATGCTTGGGCAGTGAGTCGCTGTTATGCTTATAATTTCCATTTAAGATTTTCTCATAGCTTTGTAGCTAATGTAGAAAATATTTGGAAATGAGGTGGAATTTACCAAAAGATTGGATTTCCCTTTCAAGTTCCGTCTGCTTAAATGGAGTATGTGTATCTACTGATTATTCTTTTTTAATCAGTGAAGAGGGGACTTTAAATATTTATTAATATTATTTCTGTCCTCTTAAATAATTATGGATAACTGCATAAATCATTAGTAAAATATTCTTAAAAGGAAAAATAAGAACTGGAACCTTCTTCCTCCTTTAAGACTTTGTTCATGATTAGATGTATTATATCTGGAGAAATATATCCAAATTGAAAACCAGTGTGACATTCAAAATGTAGCTAGTAAAAAATAATACACTTGTCATAATGTAAAACCTTGATCAGGAGATATCTAAGGTCTGAATTTCTTCTTTATCTTTATCTTTTATTAGATTTGTATACCGCCCTTCTCCTTTCGGACTCAGGGTGGTGAACCGCCAAAATAAAAACATTTGTACACAAAAGTTAAAATAATTATTAAAATAATTAAATGAAATTTGGCCCATAATTTAAAACATATCAATTAAAAATCAGTATCAAACATTAAAACCAACATGGAATCAGGCCAGGCCGGCTAACTGAAAAAAGTAAGTTTTTAGGGCCCGACGAAAAGTCCGGAGGTCTGGGATCACTCGTATCTCTGGGGGTAGATCGTTCCAGAGGGTAGGTGCCACCACAGAGAAGGCTCTCCCCCTGGGGGTTGCCAGCCGACATTGTCTGGCTGACGGCACCCTGAGGAGGCCCTCTCTGTGGGAGCGAACCGGCCGGTGGGAGGCAATTGGTGGCATTGATATGCACCAATTGATATGCCACCAATTGATATCTCTGGGATATCAAATGTGTTGATGACTAATCTTGAGGCCCATGGAAAATATGAGAGATGGTACTATCATGATTTGATCAGCAGTTTTATGAAATAACATTGAATCAATTTCATAATTCTGGCTGGAATATTATTCAAAAGGTAGACTGAATCCTGTAGAAGGAAGCTGACGAGCTGAAGGCCTCCATTTCTCTTTCTGATTTCTCTGGAATGAACTGGGGGTGGCAGCAAATTTAGTTGGCTCTCTCCTGGAGTTTCAAGGAAGGAACAACTGGGTTGTGGGAAGAGCCGCGCAGTGGTTATAATGCAGTATTGTAGGCTAATTCTGCCGACTACCAGGTGTTCGATCCTGACCGGCTCAAGGTTGACTCAGCCTTCCATCCTTCTGAGGTGGGTAAAATGAGGACCCAGATTATTGGGGGCAAGAGGCTGATTCTGTAAACCGCTTAGAGAGGGCTATAAAGTCCTGTGAAGCGGTATATAAGTCTTAAGTGCTAGCAGTACTGCTAAGAGAATCTGGAAAACTGTTGAGGAAAGTGGCCAGACCAACACTGCAAGTGTGTCTCCATGCACACACTCCATTGCAGTTACAGGTAGTCCTTGACTTACAACCAGAATTCAGCCCAAAATTTCTACTGCTAAGCAAAGCAGTTGTTAAGTGAGTTTTGCCCCATTTTACAACCTTTTTTGCCACAACTGTTAAGTGAATCCCTGCGTTGGTTAAGTTAGTGATATGGTTGTTAAGCAAATCTTTCTTCCCCATTGATTTTGCTTGTCGGATCGTCGCAAAAGGGGATCACATGACCCTGGGACATTGCGACCGTCATAAATACATGCCAGTTGCCAAATTTCTGAATTTTGATCATGTGAACATGGGGATGCTGCTGTGGTCGTGAAAAAATGGTTATGTCACTTTTCAGTGCCGTTGTGATGTCAAACGGTCACTAAACGAAATAAGTCGAGGACTACCTGTACGTGTTTTCCAGAGCTGTACTTGCCTTGTCTGCCTACTAGGAAGCCTTTCCACAGATCCAACAGAAGTAAGGAGAACCTTTAGCCTTTGTGTCTTTTGAGGGTAATGTGTGAGTGCTGAGCAGTCAATTTTATTCCTTTCTGGGTGCAGCTGGACTTCACCTCTTGCCAGGCATGAGCAGCGACAGCGACATTGAGTGTGACACCGAAAATGACGAACAGGAAGAGGCCGAGACTGCCTGTGCCACTCCAGAGATCTACAACCAACCTTTCCAGATTCAGCCTTCAAACGATGGTAAGATGGTTCCTTTGCAAAGAAAATACTTAAGACTTCGAACGTGGTCCTCTTTGCTTTTTGTTAGCCTACATTTGCTTCCATTTCGCTAGGTTTTTTTTTTCTTTCTTTCTTTTGCTCATTTTTCTGTTCGTAGCATTTTCTCCTTTCTTGCATTCTCTGTGTGACTATCATAACTGCTCTTCCCAACTTCGGCAGTGTAATTCTCTTTTCTAAGCCATAGTCTTACAGTGTTCTGAACCCGTGAGAAGCTGATATCTTTGTGCCTCTAAAAAGTCACAAGGCATTGTCCTTTCTGTTGCCCAAGGCACTTCAAGCTGGCCCTGGCATCATTCAGGGTTAGCAGTATTGCATATGTAACCTCAATGGACTGCCTCTCACCTGACATTTCCCCCCAATTCTGAATATCTGTAATATTACTATGACCACAATCGAGCCCAACATTTCTAAGTTGCTAAGTGAGACATTTGTTAAATAAGTTTTGCCCCATTTTATGACATCACAGTTGTTAAACAAATCGTTGCAGTTGTCAAGTTAGTAACACAGTTGTTAAGTGACTCCCCCATTGGCTTCCCTTCTCAGATGGTTGTGAATAGCGATCACATGACCCCCGGGATGCTGCAACCGTCATAAATACGAGTCAGTTGCTAAGCGTCTTGAGTTTTGATCACCTGCCCATGGGGATGCTGCAATGGTCATTTGAAAAAAAAAGGTCATAGGTCATTTATTGAAGTGCCGCTGTAACTTTGAACAGTCACTAAACGAACTGTTGTAAGTCAAGGGCCACCTGTACAAGTAGGGAAATGGAGCTTTTGGACATCCTGGTATATTGCAGGTAGCTGACACGTCAGCACCACCACACCTGTACAGCCTGTTGCTCTCTATCCATTGAGGTAGCAAGGATGAGAAGGCAACCCAGAGTCTTATGCTTGATTCTGCCTCGTTATTGTTGGTTTTTTTTTTTTTGTAATTTTATTTTCAGTCTTGTTTCCTCAACAATGAAATAGTTCTCCCATCTTGTTTCCATATCCAAAACGTGATCTGGTTTTTTAGTTCTTAAGCTTCCTGCAACTGGCCTCTCTCTTTCTCCTTAGATTTGTCTCTTTTTTTGGAGGTGTGTTTTCTATCAAACTTTTCTGCTAATAAGCTATTTTCTCTCTGTTTACAGCTTCTAAAAGTTCCCTAAACTGGACAGTCCTTTTCTTGTGGATCCAATTTATCAAAAAATAATACTGCGGCAGGTCTTCCCCTCAGTAATCTCCGCTAACGTCATCTTACCTGGAGACAGATTAGTTTGAACCTATCACATTGCTCAGAATCAGGACAAACGCCTTATCCCAGAAGTGCTTTTTCAAGAGGCAACTGGACTTTCTTATTTTTTGTTTGAAGACATTTCGCTTCTCATCCAAGAAGCTTCTTCAGCTCTGACTGGACGGTGGGGAATGGAAGGATTTATATTCCTTGCAGCAGCTGGTAATTTACATTATTTTTAAAGTCGTTGAGGTGACTTGGAGATTTATCTGTCCTTATAGTCATCCGAGTAGTGCAAAAGGGTGTGGTAATCCTGAGGACACAGACAGACATCCAAGTGGCCTCAACGGCTCTCCAAAAGAATGCAAGTGTACCAGCTGTCTGCAAGGAATATAAATTCCTCCCTTCCCCACCATCCAGTCAGAGCTGAAGAAGCTTCTTGGATGAGAAGCGAAATGTCTTCCAAGAAAAAACCGGAAAGTCCAGTTTCCTCTTGAAAAAGCACCTTTGGAACAACCATGACCTGGAGGACTGAGAATCTCCATAGACGTTTGACAAAAACCTTAGTTAAAGGTTCTTTTGAAGTAGGAAAAGTCATTGACATCTGGTTCGAATGAGTCAGGAAACCTACAAGTTTCCAGATTTGTCCTCCCTCCATTCCCACTAGTGTTCAGCCCAGTAGAGAAAGGGATTCTTGCCGTGAGGCGGAATTGACTCAGCAGAGCCCACCTGAATGACAAAAATCAGCGTCAGCTGGTTGTTCTTTTCGGGGTGCATGGCAGCCAAAGGCTTCTGTCGCACCAAATCAGGAGTCTTCACCATAAACCTTTTGTGTTTTCAGCCTCAGAACTATGCTCGCTCTTCCCCGAGGCTGACCAATTGGGCCCTGAAGATCTGCCCTTTGACACAGGGAAGGACAGCGCGAGGTAATACTGGGTTCTTCCTGCTGCACCAGCTAAAATCTTATCCGGATTGGCGCTTTGGAACTAAACCGTTTGCAGAGGGACCTGCCTGCCTGTGCCATACCAGCAATTTGCTCCCAGAGCGACTTCATAGCATCTGGAGGTCTGTGTATTTTTCTCTTGCTCTTCCTCATACCTGGTTGTGTCTGAAGATGACGCCCGGATCAAATAAGTCAACTTCAGGGTCGCTTTGAGAACACCTGCGTTAAGAGTCCTGCCACCCTCCCTCCACAAAGAACGGTGAGATCCTACTAAATCATTGGTTCTTCAGATCTGCCCGCCAGTGTGCAAGGGTCCCTTCGTGCTTCTTTAGATTTCACCTTTTTTTGTGGCTCACTCTCATGCGGAGTGCTTTTAAACTGAGAGGTGTAAAAAAAGTGAGCCACATCACCCTCACTTTTGTAGGCCTCAGAGGCCCCCTCCAGCCAAGTGAATTCCAATTTGGAGCCCCTATTTCCATTTGGGGACATTTTAAGGAACAAAAGTGGACTCCTTAAGTCTAGTAAATGCTTAAAACTTCCATTTTGCTTAGAAAAAACCCCCCACTGCTCACGTAGTCTGTGCCTCCCTCTAATTTTAGAGTACCCTCTCAAAATACTGTACAAAACTCTATCGTGCCAATCCATTTTAAAGACTACTGATTTCTTCTCTAATCTGTCTTTATCCTTCGTTGATTTTATTGACATAGGCTGCTCCTGATAAGAAATTATTCCAATTTGTTTGTTCTGTTTGGTCTCAGATAAGAGCTTTTAATGATGCGAGAGCTGTCTGACGTTTGATTAGCATCTGGTAGCTTGTTTCTCGGGAACACTGCCCCACATTTCCTGGAAATGCCTTACACAGATTTTTCCTGACTTTCTCTCTGAAAATTCTAGCTATACTGGTTCTCCAGTCCCATTTAACAGAAGCTTCCACCTGATATACCTCCAAAAAAAGTACTTTTACCTTAGCTTGTATTCCTCAGTGATGTGGGAAGGTTTAAGGTGATGAAGAACGGATGCTTGCCTGCTGCAATTATTTTAAACAGTGTACATCGTTGTCTTAAGCTATTTAAATATTTTCCAAAAGGAGTTTTCTCTCTCTCCGAATTACTCCAGTTCTGGCCAGTTGAAAGTAGCCTTTTCTGCATTGCATTTAAGCTACTGAAGATGTTCTGATTTTAAGATTAAATTTGGCTGATCCCTTAAAAGCATGTTTATAACTATATGCCTATTACTTCATGTATCCTGGTGTATTTATCTTCTCCTGAGTGTTATACCTTAAGCAGAAATACCCATTTGTAAATGTAATGTTTAAAAACTGTAAAAATTCAGGTGAAAATGGTTTGCACTCTTTTAATTAATAAAATGAATGTGGAATTGACTGTGCTTGTGCAGTTGAAGTTCTTAAAGAGAGCCTGCTAGATTCAATATCAAAGCGCCTTTGCAAAACACCTTTAGAGCGTTTTGTGATGGGTTTTTATGTAAAAAGAACAGCAGTGGTGAAAATGTAAAATTGGGATAGATAGACAACCAGCTAGTTCCCTGTAGTATGTTTAGTAATTTGGGGAGGAGGGAGTCAGAGTTAAAACTTCTCCATTCTCATTACATATCTGCTTATTAAAAATAGCAGGATCAAAGTGTCTCTTGGAAGATTTAATTTCCACCTTCATAAGATGAATTCCTAGTAATGTTTGTGTCCAGTGCTCTTGTCTGACTGCAAATTCTAATTGCGATACAGTGTTATCTTGGTACTCAACAGCTTTGAAACTCATTCAAAATTGGTACTCAACGCATTTTGACGTGAACATTTTGTCCTGGTACTTGTTTGGTACTCAACGCACAAGCTAGAACTTCTTGTTGTTGGCTGCTTTGTGACTCATTACATTATTCCTTATAGGAAAAAATTATTTGGTATTCATCGCACCTCCCGGAACCAATTAACGATGAGTAGTGAGGTACTACTGTAGTTGTATTTTTATGCATAGTGACAATTATGTAATTGCAGTAGAAAATGACATGATGTTACAACTAGCATGGTATCGGAATAAGTAAAACTGTGATTGAGGAACGAAAACAAACTTCTAGAAGCTGTTTGGAATGACATGCTCCAGAGTTGTAACTTTGAAATATTTCAATTCCACATCACTGTCAAATGAACGTCCCTAGTCCTGTGCTTGCTCTGAAATTAAGCATTGAGAAGAGTAAAATTCCCTTCTTTGGAATTATAATAAAGCAAGTATTCCAGGCTCTTTTTTAAAAAAATGCATTTGAATCGCAGAGCAGAGCAGAGGAAACTAGTCCGGTTAAAAGCATTTTTATTTCCTTTGGCAACAGCATCTTAGACTCTCATTACTAAAATTAAAATCTAGTCTTAAGACTCAGCATTCCAAGAAATCCCCTTGTTATTTACCTTCAAACTGATTGTATAATACATTTTTATATAATTAAGACACACTTAAGGAGGACTACTTAAGAAAAAGCAAGATTTGTATTGCGGTTACATCATAGTTTTGAAATGGACATGTCAGCATCTAACCACAGTTATATCTATTGATTTTTATAGGCAGCTGTCACTTTCATTCCTGGTATTATTTTAAGGTAGGATCTCTTAAGAGAACCAGAAAATGATGTATTCAGACACTAAGAGAGGTCTCTGGAGGTTTTTACACTTTGGATCACTTCCCCATTTTCCACTGACATTGTTTCTGTTTTGTCTCCCACGAAACGATGCCATTTTCATTTCGCTGAGAGCTTGTATCGAGTGATGGTTAAATATTGGATTGCGGTTGAGAATTGGAATCTAGTTTATCCTCAACTCCTGAAGCTCAGAGTAATTTTAAGGCAAACACACAGCACATTATTCTTAAAAAGTTCTTGAGAAGCAGAAACTGGGAAGAAATCAGTACATAGGTACTTTTCCCTCAACCTAGAGGAAATACAAGATATAAATCAAATAATTGTGTTCCCTGGGGTAGGGGGGATTTCTCCTTCCCCCACAATTTGTAAATTTTGCTCCTTCAAAGTACCTCTTTTCTGTGGCCGAATGTCTGGAGATTCTCAGACAATTCAGACCATGCTTGTCCTAAAGGTGCTTTTTGAAAAGGCAAAGGAACTTGGTTTTTCCTTGAAGATATTTCACTTCTCATCCATCTCATCTGTCCTTCAGCCAGAACTGCAGAAGCTTCTTGGATGTGTAACGAAACATCTTCAAACAAAAACAAAGTCCTGTTGGCTTTGAAAAAGTACTTTTGGGGACTCTTTTCTGTGGGTTTGCTGCTGTTTTTGCAACACAAAGCTTTGAAACCTTCTCTGCAGTTTGAAGCAGAAAATCAGTTGATGGTTTAAACCAGGGGTCTCCAACCTTGGCAACTTTAAGACTTGTGGACTACAACTCCCAGAGTTCCTCAGCCGCTTTGCCAGCTGAGGAATTCTGGGGGTTGAAGTCTTAAAGTTGCCAAGGTTGGAGGCCCCTGGTTTAAACTACCTACCGTATGAAACGAGAGAAACTCAAGAGTGTGTTATTTGTCATTAAAGAAGTAAGACAGGAAAGTTAGGATGTGTTGTTTTATTAAAGTACTGGTAGAGGTTGAACATAGTCCTTGTTCGAACAGCTTTAATAAATAAAATATGGCTAATACACAATTCCTACTAAAGTCATTAAAAGTTACTGGAATAAAATTTTCAACCGATCCGAACATGTTACTAAATCATTTCTACTAAACTGACCTACTTTGTTAGTGTTTTAGGACAACACAATTAACTTTCAATAGCTCTGTGTTATATGCTTGGCATTCTTAAGAATGCACAGTTCTAACGTTTTAGTAATAATGAGGAATGTCATTAATTTTTTTTTTCTTTCTTTCCAGCAGCAGGGATTGTTAGACATACGTTTTATCCCGTCAAACCAAATTTGACATTTTGCGCAATACTTCAAATGTGTTAATACTGGCAGCTAAATGTTTAGTCCTACCGTAGAGCTTATATTATAAAGAGAAATCAGGCCTTGTTAACGGGCGTAAGAACCCTCACTGGTGGCATTGTGTTTGTGGTCCTTTTTGCTCTGGAGCCGAACAGGCTGATTCTTGGAAAAAATGTCCAGTTTCTTAATTAATCTCAAGTTCCTAGGCAAGGTAAAGGAACCCCTTGAACTACAATTTTCAGTTTTTCGCGTTGAACTTTTAACACTGCATAGCTGTTTTTCTGGCTTAACTGTTCTTCTAGAATTAAAAAAAAAAAAGCAAAGTTGCCTTTGAATATAGGAGTATTGTAAACACAGGACAGGTAATAGATAGGGCTACTTTATGAATCTAAAGGTTCTAATTTTAAATTGATTTATATGGAAGCAGGGGAGGGTTAGATGCTGTCTGAGTGCTGAGGTCTCTTCCTGTTAAGGACCTTGTTCTCTTTCTGAGCCAGGGAGAAATATCCTTCCTTCCTTGCTTTTGTGGGTATCCCTAGTTTGCTTAGGAGGGGAGTAGCAGATTGTGCTTTTTCAGGAAGTATGTAGAAGTCGGAGTAGATTCTAAAGTGCTGCGAGTGATTGATGGCACTTCAGGGTATAAATATTTATATATACTTCCTTCTGTGCAAGCACAGGGCAACCGGAGTGGATTAATCAGCATCAGGATAAACGTTACATGTAGTCCTCAACTTAGAATCATTCACTGAGCGGCCGTTCAAAGTTTACGACGGCACTGGAATAAGTGACCCATCCTCCTCACACGACTGTCACAGCAGTCCCAAACTCATCTGATCAAAGTTTGAGCAGCCAGCAGGATATGTACCACAGTCGCAGCATCCCAGTGTCATGTGATCACCCCCCGCAACCAACGGGGGGGAGCTGTATCTGCTTAATGATCATGCGATTCACTTAACAACGGCAGGTGTTTGCTTAACCACCGTGGACTAAAAAAGTCAGAAAATCGGATGCGGCTTACTAAACCAGCTGCCTTGCTTAGCGACGGGAACGCTGATCCCAATTGTGGTTGTAACTGCAGGACTATCTATAATCCCTTTCTCCTGCTGCAGAAGGTATTCCTCCTAATTCTATCCAGTTTCTATCCGAGGGGGATTAAAGGAATCCCTTTGAAAGTCACAGTGGATAAATTCACCAGCCGGCTCTCGAGCGGCCTCTGGAAGGGCGGCCGCTGGAGTGCGTCTCTCTCCTGCTACTGCTTCTGTGTTCTTACACAACTGACTATGCAGATTTGTGTGAACTTGAGGGATACTTCAGACCTTTATTGGAAAGATTTCAGTATGCAAATATCAAACCACTAGTTAAATACAACAGATTTACCAAACACTTTACAGGACGACCAACATTAACACGGTTAAATATCTATATTAGTAGTTGTGGTAGTTTTTTGTGTTTTTTTGTTTTTATATTTTCACCAGCTAAAAGGTTCAAAATACAAGATACTGAACATTTAAGATTATCGTTAGTTTAAAAGGAGCTTATTGCTTACGTCAGCAAGCAGCAAATGAGGGCACAGGAGTTTTAACTGAAGAGAATTACTTCCTATTTTACCAGTGGCAATGAAGAAAAAAAAACAAAGCATGTCACAAAGCATTTTTTTTTCCTTTTGTTTTTTTTTTTGTTTTTTGTCTCTTATGCCTAGTGTCATAGAATCAAGCGGCACAAACCGGAATCAGGAACAACAACTTTTAAAATATGTCATTATTACCACGTTTGAAAAAAATAATAATAATAATTCGCCTCACAAATGGATTCTACACACTTTTGTCACTACGTGGAGATGAAAGAAATGGACACGCTCTACTTGTTTGTAACAATATTTTTGTACTGGATCACAGTAGGAATCCATTGACCAGCTCTTTCCTGCAGGGTCAAACATGGCGAACAGCAGGTAATCCACTGTATATCAATCCACAGGCATGAAGTCTTAACTTTATAAACACGAGAGAGAGAGAGAGAGCATGTTCCACAACCAGCACCTTCCAAGGACGCCTGCATTTTGAGAAGAGCGTCCAATACTTCTAACGGCACCTATGAACTTGGTCGCGTCTTCGGACAATTGCTTTTGCGCGTTGCGTTGAAGACAGCAACTGGATCGATCTCTCCTCAACTGATCTGAAAGTTTTTCAGACAAGGTAGCACAAATTGCTGCCGTCTACATGTACTCATCTTCTTGTCACCCTCTACTAACGTGTTACACCTAAGCTTGTAGTTGCCAAATAACAAAGAAATAGTTCTTCCCCTCTCCATAAGTATGCCTCAAGCTAAGGCTTTTAATCGTCTTTCCAGGAATAAAACTACTGTTTCCTCTCGTGCAGAGCTTGTCACCCTTGCCATTTTTATGAGGCGCGGACTTCCAACTCCCAGAATTCCCCAGCTAGCATGGCTCAGCTAGGGAATTCTGGGAGTTGAAGTCCACACGTCTTAAAAGTTGCTAGAGTTGAGAATCACTCCTCTTCAACTCCCAGAATCGCTGGAGAATTCTGGGAGTTGAAGTCCACACACCTCATCAAGTTGCCAGAGAGTGATAAACGCAGCTCTAGAGAATTCTTTCCGAATATGGCATTCTTCAGGATTTCCAATTACGATGTCCAGATTTTGAGGGTTGCAGTTCTAAAAACCTCTAAAGGGTGCGTAGTTAAGGACTACCTCAAATATATATATATATATATATATATATATATATATTAAAAAATAAACCGTCAGACCACAAATCAAAGTTCAGAAGCATTTTCTAATCATCAGTAATCTCGAGTTTTCTGTAACTATTTAAATTTGCACAAATGGCAGAGTGCCCCAGTTAGTTTTAGTGAACAGAATATTGTGGAATTTTGGTGAGTTTTTTTTTTAAGGTAGTGTAAGCGGTGTGCTGAATATTTTAAGTACCTAAAAGACAATTGACATGCTTTATGTGATTCTGGTACATCCCAGCTACCTAGTTTATGTAAAAATTAGTGTTTGTTTAAAGAATATTTTACTCATCAGGATTAAAGTAACAAATGGAAGGCAATCCTCAGACTCTCACCCTGAACCTCTAACTGGCAATTTAAATCTCCAAACTTTTACATCATTTTTCTAATGTTGCTAGTGTTAGATAGCCACGTTCATACTTTATTTCTTCTTCTGTTTACGCTCCCAACTGCTCTGGACATCCCTAGTAGTTTCCTTTCCTGTTCTTACAGCCTCTTCAGTTGAACATGCAAGCAATTTGAGTGAAAATGTTCCCGAAACGCGATTATTTCTTTTTTAAAAAAAAAAAGAAAAAGATCACAACTTCTTACCTGGGAAAGCAGAACTGATGACAAATTGGCGGTTTAAATGAGTTTTCAATAGGACAATGTGAATTGTATCCGAACTGATTTTTACATCAGTTTTGACACCTGAGATAAAAAGGACTGGGAAAGAGAGCGCGGCGGCTTGAATCAGCTGCAAAATGATGATTAATCTTAAACCGTTTAAGCATTATTACCACCCCCCACCACCCCCAGTTTAAAAGGCTGAACTGTCATTAAGGAACACCTCCCTCCCCAGAACCTCCCCCAAAAAGTTAACTCTGATTTCAGTATAGTTTCCATTTTAGCGGCAGGAAATTATCTTTTCTTTTAAAAACTACAAAAGCCTGGCCTGGCATGGCTTCCCCTTGCCCCATCTTCTCAATGGGAGGGGAAAAAAAAAATTAAAAGATTGAATACGTCTCTCGAACTGCATCTGAAGGGTTGGGAGGGCCCAGGTGCTAGATTGAACCTCCCCTATGGCTTTTTCACAACAGACCTGCAAAACGACCTGATAACGTAATTTTTGCTCTTATGGGATTAAAGAAGCCCAGTCCCCAAAAGGATTCCTTATACGCCTTCCTACTTCCTCCTCGCCTCCACTTACAGAAAAAAAAAAAAAAACCAATCCCACATCAGTTCTAGAAAGTCTTTCTGAAAATATTGCTCCGTAGGCTTCTCTCATAACGGGTTTCTCTCTCTTATTTTTTCTCTCTGTTATTTTTTTGCAAATTCTTTTTTTTTTTTTTTAATGGCACTTTCCTGTCTTGTCCAGCGAGTCCATAAGAATATCGAGTTCCCATGAAGAAATGAAGCGACTACACAAAGAGTACATACAGATCCGTGTGAGTGTGTGTTGTTTGTACATGAGAGAGAGAGAGATTGAATGTGTCCATGAAGTTGCTAGGGAGACTGGCATGCCAATCCTTGTTCGTTTGTTTGTTTTTGTTTTTCCCAATTTTTGGAGGCAAACACTAGGATTCCCAGGATGTATTTACATGAGCAGAGCCTTCCGTGATATCCTAATTCTGAAACACTCCCTCCGAATTACTTCTAATTCTGTGAAATGTCTAGCCTATTGAAGAAGAAGAAGAGGAAAAAAGTAAAGTAAAATACAAAGGAGGGAACGTGTTATTTTTTACAACTCCACAGCAGCCATGGGTCTGGTGGTATACAGGGACTTGGCCTTAACATCAAGAAAATACTCTCGCCGTGACCTTGATGGCAACCAAGGGAAACTTGCCCAAGATGGCTTCTTAGGAACTTGTTCCTACGGCCATTTAGGTGGTTGGGTGAGCAGAGGGTTAAACCTTCCGGGCAGAAAAGGGACCTCTGCTCAAAGAGAAACCCATTGAGCTTCGGCTTCAGTCTCGCTAACCGTTGCCACCGCTTGGCGTCGCAGAAATGAAAGTGAGAGAAAATGGAAGCTTTTCTTCCCCAGGATTTGAACCACAGGCCTTCAGGCCCGGCGGGGATCGGGGCCTCCACCAACACCACGCTGCACTCCCCTGGGCTTGAAGAGCCCAAGTTCACGGAGCCCCGTAGTGCCTTCTGCCCCTGGGGAGGAACGTCGTCCCTTCTCTTGCCGTCTTCCAAAACGCCTTGACTCAAAATCGCCCTCTTTGGTACGCCAGCGCTGAAGACTTGATCCGGAGAAAGGCGTTTGGCGCTGTGGATTTTGCCCGCTTCTGTTTTCCTCAGGTCTAAGCAGCCGGGGTCTTCGAAGATGTTGATGGGGGAACTGGCGCTCAAGGTAGTTCTGTCTGTGAAGGAATCCACTCTGCCGTCGTACCCCAGATCGGCAGGCGCCGAGACCTGGTGCTGAGGCCACTGTCTCTTGCAATCTCCCTGGTTCTCTTTGTCGTCGCCGCTGTCCTCTTGCCCGCCTTGGAAAGAGTTCTCGGTCCACTCGGATTCCTCGCCGACGCTGATGATGGCGTTCATGTCCCTGAGGAAGACCACGATGACCGTGATGTTGTCGCTAGAGCCGGCATCTCGAGCGGAAGCCACCAACTTGTGGGCTACCATGCTGCTGTCCCCGTTGTTCTCCTTCAGGTGGTCGGCCACCACTTTCACCGCCTCGTCGGGGTTCACCGTGTCGTAGAAGCCGTCGCAGGCTAGAATGAGGTAATCCTCCGATCCATCCAGCACTGTGGATCCAGAATCTGCGTCTCCACAGATGTATGGCTTGTGCTCTGCATCACCTGGAACAGGTAGACAAAAAAAAAAAACAACAAAAAACAGATTTAGACTTCTGACGCATACCCCTTACACCAGGGGTGTCAAACTCAAGGCCCGCAGGCCAGATCCAGCCTGCATGGTGCTTAGATCTGGAAACAGCGAAGGACCGGACCACGATGCCTCTGCCAGCAAGAACAGAGCTTGGGAGGGCCGCACGTTTTCACTGGCAGAGGGTTGCAGGAGGCCACTGCAGCTGAAAACTGAGCTCAGGAGCCCATTTTGTCTGGCAGAGCGCTCGGGCCACCATAAGCACCTGTGATACGAGTGACGTCGAGCTGGCTACGCCCACCCTGGCCATGCCCACCAGGAACAGATTGAACAACTCTTTGTTCAAAATTATAGAGGGCCTCCTGCCTGAGCAGGGGGTTAGACCAGAAGACCTTCAAGGGCCCTTCCAACTCTGTTATTGATGCTGTTAGGATTGACAACATCAACATTGTCTCTGTGGTTTGCTTTTAATCTCTTCCCTAGAGCTTTCCAATGCTTTACTTGGCTCTGCTCCAAAAGTATTGAGTAGGCATTTTCATTCAATTTGCCCACTCTGGCTGCAGCAGTTCCTGACTACCAGCAATCCACATTAACAACTGAATATTGCAAAGGATACAACAGATAGCATTTTTTTTCCCTACCAATAGCTCTGGAGACAGAAAGACTTCCGTTGACTCGCCATGCTCCAAACCAGACCACGCAGCCTCCAAGGGCCTCGATGCGTTTCTTCTCATCCTAAAACAGAAGACAGTTCACCTGTTGGTTGAACTTCCTGCTGCTGCAATGGAATCTACTTCACGCTTACAGTACACAGTACAGTACATTTCCTCAAGTTTTACCCCAAAACATAAAGACAAATCGTTCTATCTATATCTAGCTATCCATTTAAAAATTCCCTCCCTTTTTACAATCCCGTAATCCCTTAATTTGGAGTAGAATCTGGATGACTGGATGGAGCTGAGCGTTTACTGGCTGGATGCCTTTCCTGATGCCACACAGAGTTCACAGCAGATGTTTTTTCTTTGCACCCTAGGAGAGGAACATCTGCTTCTACCTAGGATTGAACTCTTAACCTTCCAAGTGGGAGGCAAGTGTCTTCACTACTAGGCCAGCATGCCATACTCTCCCTCCCTCCTCTCTCTCTCTCCCTCTCTCCCCCCTATCCATCCATCCATCCATCCATCCATCCATCCATCCATCCATCCATCTATCTATCTATCTATCTATCTATCTATCTTCCTTCCTACCTACCTACCTACCTACCTACCTACCTACCTACCTATCTGTCATCTCATAATTTTGTTGTACTCCTTCACTAAGGCTTCCTGCCTTCGTAGAGCTGGTGGTGTAATGTGGCTCAAGACGGGGAGCCAGCAAGTAGGAGTAGATTTTATGCAACCGCTTATGATCCTGTGCACGCTGATCTTCCTCATCTATCAATTGGCAGGGTTAAATCCAGGAAGCCCTCTCTGGCGCTTGCTCAACAACTGTCTAGCAACTTTGACGTCAACACACAGTGGAAAGCCAAATGGGCTGCTGAACGCCCAGCAACAGGCAGTTACGTAGATGATCCTACACAAAAGGTGCCAGGTTTTGATCTTCCTCGCCAGCGTTGGTCAACTCTGAACAGGATCTGTACCCAACATGGTGTCTGCCAGGACTCATTGTTTAAGTGGGGTCTTGTCCCTAACCCCCTCAGCGGGATCGTGGGGCTCCTCGACAAAATATCCATCACATTGTGTCTGAATGTCCATCAAGAGCTTACACCGGCCCAATGTCTGTTTTTTTTTTTCAACACAGACCACCCTGTCCTTAAATGGCTGGGTGGACTGGACATTAACATTTGAACTACTATAAATCCACGTATTTGCCATACCCTAAATAAATAAAAAAATCTGTCAGCGTTCCAGAAAAAAACCCAACTCCAAGTAAAAACTCTGAAGCAAGCATTTTTCAAAGTTCTATATACTAGAATAAGTAAACTGGCACATCTGGGAAAACCCGAATCTGAGAGGTCTGGGTTTTCCCTCAGTAAATCAACCCCCCCCCAAACCATCCCCTCACTCCTCAGTCTGTCATATGCTCCAATCACCATCTGTCCCATCTTGAGACATCACTCCGACCACGCCTTCTCCAGATGCAGGATCGGCCTGACCTTGACCGACAGGAAGAATGCTATTATGTCTAAAGACAACCCCTCTACTAAATTCCCCCCTCCTACTTTCTCACACAGGAGAAGGTGGCAGCATGGAAGCTTCTGCCCTAATATGGCTTCCAAAGCTGACAAAATCTATCGTCTATCTATATCTATGTATCTCATCTATATCTATCATATATATATATATATATATATATATATTTCTTGCTCTGTCTCTCTGTTTTGCTCTTTATTTATCTATCTCTTATTATCATCTATCACATTTTGGAACTGTCCATCTACCTCACAGAAGGGATTCTGGGCAGTGTACAATAAAATATTAAAACATAAAAACAGTACATAAAAGTTAAAAAGAGGCAAGGATGGTAAAACAATTAAAACTAATTGAAATGTGAGGAAAGCACCAATCAGATTTTTTTACAAAAATCTTTTGCCTACCAGCCCCACAGCTGCGTGTTCTACTGTGCGCCGTGAGCGAGGCCGCAGAGCCATGTTTATATGCTTTTCCAGAAGACCAGGAGGGGGGGGTTTACCTCACTTCTCGGGGAGGGGGGAAATGTTCCACGGGGGAGGGGCTCTCTTCCTGGACTCCCCCCGTCGGAATTCTTTAACTGATCCGGTCTGCAACATACCTTCAGGCCAATGTAATGGGGTGAAGACCATTCCATAGGGAGCCCAGCCCCATGCCATGTAGGCCTTTCAAGGTCATAACCAACCCCTTGAACTGGACCCAGAAGCAAGCCTGCACCCAGTATAGTTCATGGAGCAAAGGTGTTACATGCACCTTTCCTTTGGGTGCCAAAAATTCCCTGTGTGGCTCCATTCTCTACCAGCTGATGCTCCCAGAGACTCTTCAAGGGTAGCCCTAAGTAGAGGGCATTGCAGTAGTCCAAACAGCAGATGTTTAGGGCATGAGTGATCTAGCAAAGAGCCATCCCTATCCAGGAAAGGGTGTTCGTTGACTGGCACACCACACCTGTTATGTCCCCATCGGAGCCTGGAGGAAGACGAGCCGGAGGTGGAGCCAAGGGAGACAATTCGTTGCCTTCAGATGAATGTGGGGAGGAGGCGGGCCAGGGCCCCCTCAGGAGTGGGATGGCTTGCTAGCAGGGAGGAACAGGGCCAGGATGACCAAGAGAGGGCAGGCAGTGGACATGAGGAGTGAAGGAGCTCAGGTGACGAGCAAGAACTGCCCCCTCCTGATCCCCGAGCATGGAGAGTGGAGAGGAGGCAGGAACAGCACAGGCTGACCCTACAACTCAAGAGGAGAGCGCCCCACCTCTCTTCACAAGGCATACCTGGGAACAGAGACTTAAGGAGACGCTGTGGGGAGGGACATTTGTCAGGAACAAACACTGAATTCATGGAGTTTTGTGTGCCATTCCCGATGTTTGGAGTTTCCTGGACTTCTTGCTTTATTTCTTGCTTCCTGGACTCATTGACTTATTCCTTGCCCCACTGGATTTCTTACTTTGCAGCCGTAGCGCTCACAGCACTTTGCTGAACTACTTGCAGCCAGAGTCTGCAGGAGGTGTGTGTGTGTTTGTGGTTGATCACTTTGCTCTAGGACTTACCGTAACGTGGGAGCGTTTGGGAGAAAGTTGGAGCAATAAAGGGGCAATTTGAGCTATCAGCTGACTGTGTTGCCTCTGTGCCTTGCCTCAGGTCATTACAACACCAGTTAGCAAATGCAAAGATTCTGCACACACTGGGCTGCCGTCAGCCAAGTCTCCATTTTTTACAAGGGGTTTTGTAGTCCTAGTGTGGACTCACCTCCCGGTCTGGTTTATGAGGCTTCATCAGTTCTACAGCCTGGCCCCTTTTCACGAGCATGACTTGAGAGTCCCCCAGCCAGGCCACATACAACATGTTCCTTCGGATGAACGTCACAACGCCTGTGGTGCCGCATCGCAAGCTCTATAAAGAGAAAACACAAACCGTCGTTTGGGCACCCTTGAGAAAACGAAACCTTAGATCGGGGTGAAATGCAGCAGGTTCTCACAGGTTCTGGCGAACTGGTAGCGGAAATTTTGAGTAGTTTGGAGACCCGGCAAATACCATCTCTGGCTGGCCCCAGAGTGGGGTGGGAATGGAGATTTTGCAGTATCCTTCCCCTGGAGTGGGGTGGGAATGGAGATTTTGCAATATCCTTCCCCTTCCATGCCCACCAAGCCATGCCCACAGAACCGGCAGGGAAAAAAATTTGGATTTCACCCCTGCCTTAGATGAAATACAAAGATCAAATAAATCTGATGTAAGGAGCTACAAGATTCCAAGAGAGAAGCGTGAAAGATTTACCAAAAAGTCAGTAAGAGTTGAAAAACTAAAAGGGCAAAAGATGATGGGTAGATATAGAATACTTCCAAATAGGCTGGCTATTTTACTAAGAATTAAAAAAAAAAAGAGAAGTTAGAAATTGTGAAAATTGGGGCTTTTTTTTGGCCTGTTGTTGAGGCTGTTTTGGCCTGTTTTTGAGGCTTTTTCGGTCCGTTCTCTCAGAAAAAAACAGGCCGAAAAAAGCCTCAAAAAAAGGCTGGAAAAGGGCTGAAAAAAGGCCCAAAGAAAGAGAGGCCAAAAACAGTTTTTTGTTGTTTTCCTCTTCTAAATTTAGGTGTGTCTTATAGTCCGAAAAATATGGTACATTATAACCACTATATATACACAAATGTTAGAAGTTGAATGACTATAATTATATATATATATCTAAACAATATTAACTATTATTACTGTATGTAAAATATATTGATATAAAATGTAATATATATATATATATGGACATGGGATCAAAATTCAGGTGCTTGGCAACTCATATGACTCATATTTACGACAGTTGCAGCATCCCGGGTTCATGTGATCTCCTTTTACGGCCATCCAACTAGCAAAGTCATTGGGGAGGCCAGATTCGCTTAACAGCCGACTTCCTAACTTAACAAGTGCAGTGATTCACTTAACAACCATGGCAAGAAAGGTTGTAGAAATGGAGCAAAAATTCACTTAGCAACATATGTTTTGGGCTCCGTTGTCATCGTAAGACGAGGACTACCTGTGCAGATCCATATATTTTTGAAGCCAGCGCGTGCAATAAAAGAGATTTTTTTACCAAGCTGTTTGAAATACTGAGGTGCATTTCTGATTTGGAAAGCCTCAACGCCCGGGGCAAAAATCATTTTGAAAGCTGTCTTAACACATGACTTAAGGAAAGAAAAAAATGGAGAGCATCCGTGGCTATGTACCAAATCAGTAAGTGTTAATACGAACAGTTATTTTTGTTCAGCCTTTCTATTTAAGGAACAGACAGATAACCGGAAAAGTCTATCGGCTTTTCGGTGATCAAAGCCATCTAAAATAGTTTCTGCTCTAGGCAAAAATAAAGCTTCAGGGATTTTCTCAGAATGGCAAATATTTCAGTCAATGAGTTCTAGACCCATGTTAATAATAATAATAATAATAATAATAATAATAATAATAATAATAATAATTTTATTTCTATACCGCCCTTCTCCCAAAGGACTCAGGGCGGTGTACAGCCTGATTAAAAGCACAAAGACAAACAAAATTTAAAAATAATTAAAATTATTAAATAATTGGCTCAATTATAAAACCCCCAAATTTAAAATCCCACGTTTAAAACCAATTAAAATCTTTACATTGATAGCCCGGCCTGGCGGAACAACAAGGTTTTGAGGGCACAGCGAAATACCCAGAGGTTAAGGCCATGGTGAGATCAATTCGCCAAAGCAGAATTATATTAATGGCTTTTTAGGCCCATGTTTGAAATTCCAGGTAGGCAGTCTGGCTCGCAGGAAAATAAATAAAATATTGGCAGATTTTCTTCCAAACGACGACAGGCAGTGGAACAATGGGTTCACTTAACAACCACCACAAAAAAATGTCATAAAATGGGTCAGTCACATGAATATCTCTAGTTATGACTCATGAATGTATAATGGGAATTCCTGCCTCTGATAAGTCGAGGACCGCAGGACAAATTTCATTTAGTGACTGTACAAAGGTACAACGGCACTGGGGGAAAAAGTGATTTCTGACCATTGCAGCATCCCCATGGTCACAGGATCAAAATTTGGTTGCTTGGGCAACTTGTTCGTATTTATGATTCTGGCAGTGTCCTGGGAATCATGTGATCCCCTTTTGTGACCTTCTGACATGCAAAGTCAACGGGGAAGCCAGATTCACTTGACAAAAGTGTTAACTCATTTAACAATTGCAGTGATTCCCTTACGAAATGTGGCAAGAAAGGTGGTAAAATGGGGCCAAACTCACTTAACAAATTTCTCACACAGCAACAGAAATTCTGGGCTCAATTGTGGTCCTAAGTCTACGTTATCCTCTAAGAGAATAGCTCTAAGTAAGGAATACGGTGGCTCACGACTGCTGGGTTGGAGGTGTATATATTGCTTGGCAATATATAAACCTCGATATAGCTTTAAGACTGTATTGCTGTATTGCATCTTACTGTGTCCTGATTGGTTAGCTCTGTAGCCAATGTCCTTAAGAGGGAGCTTGAAACAAGGTTTGTTTCTCTTTCCTGACCATTGTTTATCTTTGCTGATCTCTCTGCTGCTCTTTGCTGAACGTTACGGATTGTTACTGCTTTTTGCTGTGTTTGCTACTGTTTGCAAGTGTTTATGGTGTATGACTACAACAACTGGTAAGAAGACTTTGTTATTGGAATATCCCTGGACTATTGTTTAACTATCTACTGCTTTATCTGTGTATGACCTGGACTGTTTATTGGACTGTGCCTTATTGCTATTTCCTAAAAGTAAACACAACTCAGTGTATCTGTGTGTTGGCTGTGATTATTTGCAACTGCTCTCAGTCACTTTCATGTGCACACCCTTGCTACTCTAGGGTTGCTCTGCGAATTCCTCAACAGGAGGTTAGCAAGCCCGCGTTCAAGACCCGTATGCTGCTGCCTGGCAGGGTAAGCTCCTGTCATTCGCTCCAGCTCCTTGACAGGGACATGATTGAATCCCCCACAGGCTTACCCCAGGCAATGGTCACCAGCTAATATCCTTTCAAGACCCAGAAGTGTCTTAAACCAGGGGTCCCCAGCCGCCGGGCCATGCCCCACTACTGGGCCGCAGCCCATTGAGAACCGGGCTGCAGAAGCAGCAAGTAAACGTGCGTGCGTGCAGTTCCACTTGCACAAGCGGCAGGTGAGTGCATGCACGTGCAAAGCTTCATTTGTGTGGGCAGTTTGTATGCGTGCCTGGCCACTTGTGCAAACAGCTACACACTATTCGTGTGTGCTCTGGCCCCCACCGCTCACGAGGAACCATCTCCTCTACCCACCCATCCCGCTGCTCATTCACAAAGCTGGACAAATTGGGGACCCCTGCCTTAAATGCTGCCTCTGACAAGAACGGAACGGGGTTTCTAGATCAGGGGTGTCAAACTCGCAGCCCGCAGGCCAGACGCATCATGCGCTGGCCACGCCCACCCTCCCGGTTTAGCAAAAGGGAAAGTTGCAATACATCACGTGACGACAACGTGTCATCGTGAGTTTGACACCCCCGTTCTAGAGTCAGTCCAGTCGTAAACCAGAGCGGTCTGAAAAACCAAGCCCTTCCCGCTCGCTCGACCGGAGAATTCAGTTCACCTCTCTGGCTGCCTTCTGCACGAAACGTTCATCCGTAACCTGGAAGGCTTTGCAGAGGGCTTCGGCGGGGTCGTGCTGGAACGCTTCTTGGTGCACCAAATTCACGTGCAGGTGAATGGAGGCGTAAATGGCTGCGTCCACTCCTCCGTGGCCATCAAAGACGGCAAAATAGGCCTGCTCCCCTTGATCCTGCCAATCAAAAGAGGAGCAAATCAAAAGAGAGAACAAACCAAGGGACAGCAGCTAGGTTATGCAGAGGGCCGTTAAATGAGAAAAAATTAAGTCAGTGTTGTGGCCCGCCAGCGGATCTGGCAGCAGATTCGGACAGTGAGGAGGTTGGGGAGGAACATGGGCCAGTCCTGGAGTCTGGGGAAGGCTCTGATGAGGGCTCTGCGTCAGAGGCAGAGAGGGAGCCAGGGACGTATGCCGGTTATCAGCTGCCTTCAGAGTCAGACATCAGTGAGGCAGACAAACAGCTGGAGCCTGTTCTCAGTATGCACATGCGCAGAGTTGCCAGATGAAGGGAACAGCTCGGGTGGGTTCTAATTTTTTTTTACTACCGGTTCTGTGGGCATGGCTTATTTTGTGGGCGTGGCTCATGGGGGGGTAATGTGACAGGGTGGGCGTGGCCAACTTTTTTTTTTTTACTTTCAAAAGCATTTTTTCTACAACCTTAAGAGGTTGCAGAAAAAAATGCTTTTAAAAGCCTCTGACGATCAGGCAACTCAGCTGGGATCATCAGAGGCTTGATGATCAGAGCACCGCTTCGGCCGAAGAGGTTGTAGAAAAAATGCTTTTAAAAGCCTCTGACGATTCCAGCTGAGCCGCGCCATCATCAGAGGCTTTTTTTTTAACTTTTAAAAGCATTTTTTCGGCCGAAGAGGTTGTAGAAAAAATGCTTTTAAAAGTAGGGGGAAAAAAAGCCTCTGATGAGATGGGCGGGGTAAGTGACCGGGGGTGTGGCCAGCCAATGTTATTACCGGTTCTCCGAACACCTACAAATTTTTACTACCGGTTCTTGCAAACCGGGGCGAACCGGGAGCAACCCACCACTGGAACAGCTAAAGAACAAGGGTCGACTTGGGAGTAAGGCCACAGGTGGACGCGGAATGGCCCCTCCCAGAGGGAATAAAAGAGGAGCGAAAGGGGAGTGGAGTTTGCAGGAGACAATTAGTTCATTCCTGCATTCTTGCCAAGTATTGCAGCGTCTGAAAGATATTGGCCTGGCCACTCTCCAAGCCTGATAAAGGTCAGTAATAGTGAACTATCTTGAAAGACTAGGAGAGGAAAAACTTTGCTGGGGAGGAATTCACTGTACATTAAATAAAAGGGGTTTATTGGGACGAGGACTCGGCTTGTGCTGCTGGGGAAGCCTAAGTGCGAACAGTCAGGTTGGAACCAGCTAAAAATCAAGCACAGGGGATAGTCATCCAGTGGGATGGGATATGGAAACTGCAAGATTGAAGAATCCAGACCACATGTTAAGCTCCAGTTAAGCTGATTTATTGCTCATGCCTACACGCAAGTCAACAGTCAGCGCTAAATTGGCACTAGGTAACAGTCAATGGAATTCAAAGAGGGGTTGGGCTTACACCGCTTGCGGGAACGTAATGATTCTAAGATGATGACTTCCTTGACTCCCCTCCCTGAGCAAGGGGCTGCTACTCCTCCCGCAGTCTAAGGGGCTGCCAGAAAGAAGAGAGGGTCACCCTATTCCCCAAAGCACCTGAAGAAGCAATGGAAGGAAATTAATCAAAGTGTTATGGCTCCGTTACCGGAGCCTGTGTCATCGGCAGGAGAGGACTCCGAGAATGAAGGAGAGGAGTTGGCAAGGCCTCCCTTTCCAGGACCCTCCTCTCTGGCAATGCCTTCGGTGTCCGCCGAAGGGCAAGAGATAGGGCCGGGGCCAAGCACGTCCACGCAGCCACAGGTGGACAGTGATGAGGGTAATGAGTCTTGGCTGGATCCACGCCAGCGTCGCAGAGATAAGCGCGCGCAACAGAAGATTAGGCTGAGTCACTGGACCACACCCCACAGGGTATAAAAGGGAGCGTGGTGGCCAGTCAAGCCTTGTGACGAACAAAGCTGAAAGCTTCCATGCCATTCTGCATTGCCGGACTTTTGCTATAGACTTTGCTGGATTATATTTGGACTTGAGTTACTCTGTAATTATTGAACATGTTACTTTGATGTACCAGAAGCGGAGAGAAGTTATCTCTTCCCTTCGTGAGTAATAAACTCTTGGCAGGCAGCCACTAGGTTGCTGCCAAGTTCCGTTATCATAAGGAAAAGGATTTTGTTGGCTGGTTTGGTTTTTAACTCTTGGACGTCTGTTGGTGTGTGTGCGTGTGGGACGGGGACAGAACACAAGGAGAGAAGCAACCTAGAACCAAGGAGGAATTTTCCGACAGTAAGAACAGTTAATGGAACGGGTTGCTTCCAGAAGCTTGTGGATGTTTCAATACGGGGGGGGGGGGGTTAAGAAGAGACTGGAGACCTTTGTCTGGAATGGTCTCCTGCCTGAGCATGGGGTTGGACTAGAAGACCTCCAAAGTCCCTTCCGACTCTTATTATTCTGTCTAACCAGAACAGCAATGGTGCAGTGGAATGTCGTCTGGATTCCCAGGAGGAGGGGCTGCATTCCCGAGGACCAAAAGACAGCAAGGTTTAGATCGTTTGGTTGGGAGGAATAGGCTCAACAGTGCTCTTCCCTAAAAGCTCTCTGAATATATATTTTATTGACGTTGTAGTCCGCTTTAGTTTGGCAAGATTTCTGCCTATATTAATATTTTTATTTATTCAGAAAATTTACATGGCCTCCCAACTCACAATGACAGTTCCATCCGTTGCTTCTTCAGATGGTTTGGGGAATAGCTTGACTTCCTCTTCTTTGGGGCAGCCCCTGAGATATCGGAACACTGCTATCATATCACCCCTAGTCCTTCTTCTCATGAAACTAGACATACCCAGTTCCAACAACCGTCCTTCATATGTTTTATCCAGGGGTGAAATCCAGCAGGTTCTGGCAGTTTTTGCAGAACTGGTAGTGGAAATTTTGAGTAGTTCGGAGAACCGGCAAATACCACCTCTGGCTGGCCCCAGAGTGGGGTGGAAATGGAGATTTTGCAGTATCCATCCCCTGCCACGCCCACCAAGCCACACCAAGCCACACCCACAGAAGCAGTAGTAAAAAAAAATTGATTTTACCACTGGTTTTACCCTCCAGTCTTCTAATCATCCTTGTTGCTCTTCTCTGCACTCTTTCCAGAGTCTCAACATCTTTTTTTATATGATAACGACCAAAGCTGTTTCCATTATTCCAAGTGGGGTCTTACTAAGAGCTTATAAAGTGCTAGTAACATGATCCTGATTCGCTCTGTTGATGCAGCCAAGGACTGTGTTGGCTTTTTTGGCAGCTGCAGCACACGGCTGGCTCATATTTCAGGATTAGGGTCCTTCAAATATAGTCGAGGAACAACAAAGTAAACTGCTTTGGAGTAACTCAAGAGTATCTTTGTCGGTTTGGGAGCCTGACAAATGGAGATATCGGGTGTGGAGTTCCTTCATATATAATGTTTTCACCCACACTCACCTTCTTAATCCTAACTGCAATAAAAAAAAATTCTCTTGGCACCTATCTGGATTCTACCCAGGGTGGATAAAAATCGATGCTTAAGATACATTAATCATTTAGTTTATTCAGCATTGAAATGGAGCTTAGTTATGTAGCATGAGGCTGTAGATTCTGCAATATTTACATTTTTGGTAAACTCATTCAATGAATCCGAGGTCTGCAAAGGTGAGATAACATGCACTGCATTGATGCATTCACGCAAATTGAGTTGATTTAAATCTAGCCTTTTTACCAGTGATTTAAATCAACTTCATTTAAATCAAATCCACCCTGATTCTGGCTACCTAGAGTTTCATCGAATACATCTTTGCTACCTGCAGGCAGGTCTCCTTTTTACCTCCAGGTTAAAGAGGGTGTTGAAGTCTGGAATGCAGACATGTTTGTCTTCCATCTTGCGTCGCATGTTCTTAATGGCGTGGATCGATGTCTCGTAGTACCGACACGGCTTCAAATGGAGCGGGAAATCCTTCACCCAGGTGCTGCAAATATTGTGAAGCTTGGTAAACACGGTGCGGGCCAACTTCTCCGTCTCCACCTCTGTAAGGAAAGCCAACACCATGGTAAGAATGAAGAACTCCTTGTTGAAATCCAAAGGAATATGCTGTCAGGGTTCCGGATGCCCTAATTAAAACATGCCTCTCAAGCCAAGCTTCAAAAGAAATACAGTTGTTTATTAGGAGTTTCATGTCAGCACGTTCCCAAGTGAGGCCAGCTCTGACCCTATGTAATTTACGCTCCAATTATAACCCTGTTTCCCCACCCCCTCGGGGTGTGTCATCAATCACATTCACCAACGGAGCAATTTTGCAGGTTGTAGAAGTCACTCCCCTCGACTGCTGTAGGTAACCCTGGGATACAGCCTTGAGAGAGATAAGTGTGGAATGTGCATATGTCTTTGGCTACTGTGCCATTTCTCCAGTTTCCCATCCCCCCTGGCCTATGACAACTCGAGAGCAGGCCAGGGATGCTGTGCGAGTTGACATATTATCTACCAGGAGTATTAAATTCTTTTCCTTTGACGTTTTCCTGAAATGCTAGATACAGGTAATCCTCAATTTACAACCATTTGTTTAGTGACAGTTCGAAGTTAGAACGCCACTGAAAAAAGCGAATTAGGACTGTTTTTCACACTCACGAATGTTGCAAGTATCCCCAAGGTTACATGTTCAAAATTTGGACATTTGGCAATTGACTCCTATTTATGATGGCTGCAGTGTCCCGGAGTCATGTAAACATTATTTTTTGCGACCTTCTGACAAGCAATGGGGAGGCCACTTAACAACCATGTGACTAACTTAAAAACGGCAGTGGTTCACTTAACAACTGTCGTAAAGGTCGTAAAATGGGGCAAAACTCACTTAACAATTGTCTCGTCTAGCAGTAGAAATTTCGGCCTCAATTTGTGGGTCGTAAATCGAGGACTTCCTGCATAAGCAGTAGGTCGCCGCCATCCTATTGCAACCTTGTCTGAAATGGTATAGGACAGTGTTGGTGAACCTTTTCGGCACTGAGTGCTGAAACGGGAGCACGCGCATGGAGGAGTGCCGGAAACCGGAAGAGCAGCTTCCCGGTGCGCTGTCCACCTTCTTCTGCTTTCTGGCACGCATGCACACACGAAGACCAGCTGGCCAGCATACATGCGCGTCAGAAAGCAGAAGCTCAGCTTCCCGGCGCCCACATGCGTGGGCTGGGGACCTGGTCTTCTGGTTTCCGCTGCTCCCCCGTGCGCGAAGATCAGCTGGCTGGCGTGCATGCATGCACTGGAACGCAAAACAGCAATGGGCGATGGCTAGCATGCCTGGAGAGATGGCTCTGTGTGCCACTTCCGGCATGCGTGCCATAGGTTCGCCGTCAAAGGTATAGGACCGTGATGGCGAACCTATGGCACGCGTGCCACAGGTGGCACGCAGAGCCATATCTGTGGGCACACCAGCCGTTGCCCTAGCTCAGCTCCAGCACGCATGCTCGCGGTGGCCAGCTGATTTTCGGCTGGCCCCGTCCATGCCGCCCCTCCCCTCCCAGGAGTCTCCCTGTGGCCCGTTTTGGATGCCAGGTAAGTACAGGGCTCACACGGAGGCTCTGGGAGGGCGTTTTCAGCCTCTGGGGTGGAGTGGGGGAGGCTGTTTTTGCCCTCCCCAGGCTCCAAGACAGCCTCTGGAGCCTGGGGAGGGCAAAAAAACAGGCCTACCAGGCCCACCGGTAACTTTTTTGCCATCGCCGGCCAAAAGCAGGGGGAATGTGGGGGGTTGCACGCACATGTGCGGGGGGGCATAGGGGGCATTGAATTATGGGTGAGGGCACGCATATGCACGACCCCCCCCCATGCTCCCTCCGCTTTTGGCACGCGACGGCAAAAAGGTTCGCCATCACTGGTATAGGATCTCCTGCTTGAGCTGGACTAGAAGATCTCCAAGGTTCCTTCCAGCTCTATTCTGACTCTGACTCTGATTCTGATTGGTCTTAACGTTCTAAATCCCACCCAGAAACTGACAGAAGGAAGCTGCAAATTGGGAAATTAAATATTCCAACATAAATCATCCTCTTCTTTTAATGATCCCATAATCCCTTGCGGGGTGGAGTCTGGGCAACTGAATGGAACTAACAGAGTGTTTTCATGGCCGGATCCCTTTCCTGTCACCAATGCAGAGTTTTGTTCGGCAGATATATTCTCATCGTGCCCAGAGAGAGAGAAATATCTGCCTCTACCTAGGATGGAACTCACAGCCTCCTGATTGTCAGGCGAGAGCTCCACCTCTAGGCCACCACACCAGATATTCCAACATAAATCGGGTGAGGATATTCCCTTCTGATAAAACCTTGGTTAGAGTACAATTTCACCCAGCTGACTGAACCCGCTGTTAGTGGCGCCTTTGCAAACTCATTCATTCACCTGTGCAAAAAAAAAAATATTTCTCACCTACCGAAACCAGCAAACAGCTCAGTGTGAATGAGTCACTACTTTTTTGCGCAAAATTACGAAGACTGGCACTGCTCTAGACTTTTGAAACGGCTTAGCTTTAACATTGCCTGCAGTCCTCTACTTACAACCATTGATTTCCTGATCGTTTCGACGTTACAATGGACTGGGGAAAAAAAAGACTTTTTTTTTTTTCAGACTTAGGACAACTGACTCATATTTATGACAGTTGCCCCGTGCCGGGGTCATATGATTTCCTTTTGCGACGTTGCAAAGGGACAAAGTCAATGAGGAAACCGGATTCACTTAACAACGGGGTTACTCACTTAACAAGTGCAGTGATTTGCTTAACAACCGTGGCAAAGAAAGGTTGTAAAAATGGTGCAAAGTACACTGAACAAGCGTCTCGCTTAGCAACAGAAGTTTTGGGCTCCGTTGTCATCGTAAGACAGGGACTATCTGTTCAGATCAATATATTTTTGAAGCCGGCACAAGCAATAAAAGAGATTTTTACCAACCATACAACTAACTTATCAACTGTGGTGACTCAGTTAACAACGGTGGCAAGAAAGGTTGTAAAATGTCGCAAAGCTCACTTAACCAATGTCTCACTTAACAATGGCAATTTTGAGCCCAATTGTGGTTGTATGCCGAGGACTGCATGTACAGAAAGAAAATTCTTGGGTTCGGCAGATATATTCTCATCGTGCCCAGAGAGAGAGAAACATCTGCCTGGTATAGGGCAGTGATGGCTAACCTTTTTGCCATTGCGTGCCAGAAACGGGGGGAGTGCAGGGGGGATTGCGTGCCCACACCTATAATTCTATGCACCCCACACATGGACATGAGATCCCCCCCTTGACCCCCGCTTTTGGCATGCGATGGCCCGATGGGCCCGGTTGGCCCCTTTTTTGCTCTCCCCAGGCTCTAGAGCCACTCTAGGAGCCTGGGGAGGGCAAAAACGGCCTTCCCCATCCCCCCGGAGGCCCTCCGGAGGCCGGAAACGGCCCATTTGCCGACTTCCTGTCCCACCGTTTTCGCCCTCCCCAGACTCCTAGAAAGGCTCTGGAACCTGGGGAGAGTGAAAAATGGGCCTTCCCCCACCCCACCCCCAGGCCCTCCAGAGGCAGGAAACCGCCGGAGCTGAGCTCGCGTGCCCACCGATATGGCTCCGCGTGCCACCTGTGTCACGCGTGCCATAGGTTCGCCATCCCGGGTATAAGGTTTCCTGAGAGTGAGAACCATCAACTGATGGAACAGAAGTTGCCTTCAGAAGTTGTGGGAGCTTCACCACTGGAGGCTTTCAAGAAAAGACTGGGCTGCCATCTGTCAGAAACAGTGTAAGGTCCTGCTTGGGCAGGGGGTTGGACTAGATGACCTCCAAGGCCCCTTTCCCACTCTTCTGTTATTAAGGCCTCCAAGCTCCCTTCCAGCTCCGTTCTAACTGATTGAAAAGGAACATAAATGTGCATTTGTGCTGGAAGAGGAAGCCATGGGCCCCAGCCGGAGAGAAAAATACTCTCTTAATACTGGCAAGGGCAGACCCCCTGAGGATGGCACACACTGTGTGAGCATCATCAATAATTACTGGTTCACTTTTTTTTTTTTTTTAAAGAGCCCTCCGCAGTTTATCCACCCCCACGCAGCTGTAAATTACTCATCAATCCTTAATGCTGGAGTGCTGGGCTGGGCCCTGAGTCAGCCGTCACCCTGTCTAGGCTGCTACCAAGACACCCCCCCCCACTCCTGCTAGGAAGCCTTAATGGAAGTAGAAGTCCCACTTTAATCTCACAGTGGTGTGCTGGTCGCCCGAGAGCCGCTGCGTAAGAAACGACGGCTGGTTCGCAGTCCGTTGCACGCCGTCTTCGTGTGTAAAAAAAACCCCAGCTTTTTCAGAAGGGCTTGTGATAATAAGCGGCGGAAAAGATAACGCAAGGGCGAGGACCGAGAACGGTTAGGTTTGTGGGGGTCCTTTGGTGCTCCTCTTGAGCTGGGAGGTTTGCTTGTAGACCTTTCATGACCCAGCCAGGTAACATCATCAGTATCAGAAGGGAGTGGGGTTTGCTCTCTCTTTCTATACAAGTGGCTTGCCCTGTCAGTGTTGACAGGGAGTGTTCTTGGTGGTACTTGGATTAGGCAGATGATAGATAAGACAGACATGTGGATGGATGGATGGATGGATGGATGGATGGATGGACGGATAGATGGATGTGTGGGGGAGCTTGGTGGATAGATAGATGATGGATGGATAGATAGAGAGATAGAGATAGATAGATAGATAGATAGACAGACAGACAGACACAGACAGATATGGATGGATGGATGGATAGATAGATATGGATGAATAGATAGATGATAGATAGAGATAAATAGACAGACGCAGACAGATATGGATGGATGGATGGATGGATAGGCAGACAAACAGACAGATAGATAAATAGATATGGATGGATAGATAGAGGAATAGATAGATGATAGATAGATAGATAGATAGATAGATAGATAGATAGATAGAGACAGATACAGACGGATGGATGGATATGGATGAATAGATAGATAGATAAATAGATAGATAGATAGATAGATAGATAGATAGATAGATAGATGATAGAATGATAGA